GAAGCCGCTTCTCTGTTTCTAAGGCCATGTGGCGTTTACCATTGGCAGGGCTCTCCTCAGCTGTGTGCAACGCTAAGGCTTCGGGACATATCCAGTATCCTTCCTTTATCGCCATGGAAGTGTGTGAACAAGTACAGAAATGTCGATTGACTTGCCTCGCGTTCTCTAAATTACACACCCAGACATACGTATATATATATATATGTATATATATATATACACATACACATACACATACACATACACATACACATACACATACGTATATATATATATATATGTAGATTTTTATTGTATCATTGGTCATATATTAGACGTGTGTGTGTGTGTGTGTGTGCGCGCGTGCTGGTGAAATTTGGCTATTCTTCATTAAACGGATGGGACAGGGAAGGGGGACATGATGGGATGGTCTCTTGACTGAGGAAACTGTTCTGGAGACACGCGAGGTGCATTGCAGCTGTTCGCGCTGCCTTTCTCGAAAAGGCAGGTGCAGAAGGACGCACGACGATGAGTTTCTAGTGAGGCCTCTAGCTTGTGCCTGCGCAAGTTGTGTGGATTCCAAGCAGCCGCGTTGTTCCGAACCCCCTTTTGTTTGCAGTTGCGGCTGCTTCGTTACTGCCTGGCTCGTGTAGGATGTAGGAACAACTCGGGCCTGCTTGGACTTAAGGGCTGATGCTGGAAGTGTGGGGGACAATGGTCATAGCTATTGTGGGCAGGGGAAACGGTTGCTCCCTTTCGCTGGGAAGTGCACAAATTAAAGCTACCAATGTGCGAAAACACCCCTGAGAATAGTCGTGCCTCAACTGGAGAGCAGATGTCTTCAAACAGCATTGCTGCCGACGATCGGGCTGCAAATAGCACATCGCGTATGCAACACCGCCCGCCAGCGTGCAGATGCACAGGGCCAAAGCCGTGATCGCCACCGGAACGATCCTGGACACGGGTGCCGGGCACAGGCCTTGCAGCTTTTACAGCAGAATCTTGTTGCGAGCAAGAGTATCAACTGCAGCACCTGGTTTTTGCTGCAGTGAAAAACCATTTCTGAACTTCCCACAAGCAAGTTCCTGCCAGTTTAGGTCTGAAATTCAGGTACCCATCACAGCGCGACATCCCAAGGCCAAGTCTCCACGCCATGTCCCCGCTGGCCACTGGCTCCGACGACATCTCCGTTGTGGAGCCCCCAGTTTGGACAGCGGGCCTTCGCGTTTGAGGATAGAGTGAACAAGAGCTGAATAAGAAGCTGGAACTATCAACACACGGCCACTATTGCATCACTCTCTGCGCTGGCAGGTCAGTCAGCCGAACCTAACAAAGCGGCAGCTGTCAGAGGAGCGCTTCCCGAATCTTTAAGAAACTGAGCTCTGAATGCCCCCCAACCTATAAAACCTTCCCGGACCCGGTGGTGCTCGGCGAGGGTGGTGGGCTGGGGCTCGGCAGCGGTGACCAGGACTCGCCGTCCTGACCATCGAAAGCTTCAATAGACCTGCTTCAAAGCTTGAGGGCTTTCCGTGATGGGCGCGCCGGGAATAGTTGTTCGAGAACCGGGGGTGCTGCCTGGATGTTGCTGGTTTGGGCTTCGGCCTTGTCTCGATGCAGCATTGCTTATGTGTGGCTGACGCTAAACTATTCTTTCATATATGATTGAGTAGACCGAGGAGCAGAACCCATTTCTGCGGAGGTGCATGCCAAATCACTTCTGGATGTGGAGGTCAGCCTACCACTGATTTGCCAACCAATGCTCTATGCATGGGCGGGAGTACGAGACGGGACAGGAAGGGGACGGGAAGGAAGGTGATGGTGAAGATGAACGTCATCGTCAAAAGCCGTCAAGTAGCACTCAACGCCTTGGCGATCTGGGTGGTTTCTTGAGACGCAACGGCTGTGTGCCTAAATTCGTGCAAATGTGCTGTTCTGATTCTGACATCTTTTGAAGCGACCACCAGCATCCAGCAACACTTCTCAACGTTGCCTATCGGTTCTACATTTTCGCCCCGCATGACACCGCAAGTCTTTGCAAAAGCTTTTTCTATAAGCTCTAAGCTTGCTCTTCCATGTTCTTGACACTGGTTCGCTTATCTTGCAGGGCAAGGAGGCATCAGGACTAGGAGCCCTCCCCCTGTTCTGAACCTAATATTCTGCAGCGGCCAAAAGATTGAATGACCTCTGCCTGGTAGGACTTACGAAAGGCCTCGACCCATCCTTGTCGAGAGCGGGTCATAGCGGAGCTGAGTGCATAAAACCTCCAAACGAAATTTTCTGATGTAACGTCCTGAAGAGGCTTCGCTGCCTGCACCGTGGGCACCACTGTCGAACCTGGCTTGGATCTAAGCTTCAGGGCTCCATGTCATCTTGTGGCCCTGGCTTGCAACAGCGAACGTCCAGTTTCCCAGCCTGACTGCATCAGTTCCTGCACAAACTCTTCCTGGAAGCTTGATGCAGTGCTGCCTTAGGTGGAGGTTCCTCTCGGCCCTCTCGCATGCTCAGCAAACAAGACCTTGCAGTGTCCCTATTAATACAAACAGGCAGAGGCAGGTCGGGCGAGTCTCTTCCAGGCAAGCCCAGCTCTCCAACTCTTTGAGCAATCGCCCTGCTCTGCGCCTGCCGAAACCGTCCAGGCACATGGCTCGAGATCGGCGGTCTACAACTAGCATTCCATTGTAAACCCCAAGCCAGAACGCCCAAGGAAATTCTAAACCCCAAGACCATCGCATAAACAAACTCCAGCATCCCTGGGCCTGGCTTGGAGACGTGACCTCAAAGCGCACGCGGACAAGCCATCGCCCGGAGAGCCGGCGGCCGGCGCCTGCATCGCCTCTGTAGCTTTAGCGTTCAGTAGTACAAGGCAGTCCTTAAGCGCCAACGCCCTCCCACAGTGGTTCTATATCGGGTACCGCCGCATCCCAGAAAGTCGGATGCCACTGAATAATTGTGCGAGGGATGCTATGTGTATCTGTGTATGAGCGGAAGCAATACAGCCATAGAGGCAGATATATACACACATACGCACAAACACATGCACACATGCATACCTACATACAGTAAAGTATTGTTTCATGCCATGCATACACACCTGCCAACCTCCTTACTTCCCTACCTCCCTACCTACTTATCTACCTACCTGCCTGCCTGCCGCTTGCCTACCTACCTACCTACATACATTCATAAAGTTGCATACATACATACGTACATCCATGCATACATTCATTGAACCCAAGGGGTGCTAAACAACTGAGCAGTCAGAACAGTAGAAAAGATCATGGAAATGATCTTCTGACGCACCTTAGTTGAGTTCTGCCAAGGTAAGCACAGACAATCACAAGCGGCACAGCATGCCGCCAGCCTTGGTAGTACACATCCATGCCCAGAATGACGAGCATGTCGCTAGTGCCCAGCCTGAAGAAGTGCTCGATCAAACTCGCCGATGCTTTACCGTCTCAATTCGTATTGAACCTGACTAGCGCAAGTGGACAACAAAAACGGGTACCAAGAAAGCTGAGTGGCCCTAGTGCTAGCCTCAGTGCTGAAAGCAACGCGTACGTCGCAGTAGGGAAAGTCAATTCTTCAGCATCTTCTCTTGAAGAAGTGCTGAGAGAAAGCTCTGTTCTCACTGGGCCTGAAGGGGTGAAGTCCACAAGCCACGGAGGGACTGTGGGAGGTTCAGTTGTTGTAGGAGCTTCCGTGGTCGTGGTGGTTGGTGGCAGCGTGGGTGGTGCTGGAGTGGCCGATGTCGTGTAAATGAGGGGTGGCCGTGTGGTGGGAGGCGCTGTCTGACCTCCACCTCCGCCCTGTGTCGTAGCTGGTGGTCGTGTGGTAAAATAGTCGACGGGGGGTTGTGTTGTGCGCACTGTTGTCGTAGTCGGTGCAGGTGTGGTGGGTGGTGGAGTTGGTGCTTGGGTGGTTGCGGTGGGTGTGCTGGATGTTGACTGCGTGGTGTGGCCAGGGATCCATATCTTCGAGTCGCTCATGACGGCATTGCCCCATGGATCCATCACGAGACAGCGCACGGTGTATTCTTTTGCGGGCCGCAGCTGCCCAAACACCAAATACACCGGGTACTCGTTCGACCAGGTCTTCTGCGAGCATCGGGGGTATTGACATCCGTCACCTCAGTGCTGGGCTCAGTGGCACGGACACTCAGAAGCTACTAGTAGAGGGTGGATCTGAGCTCTATGACCACTCCCTTGATCCCACTGCTAAAAGTCCTAATGAGAACCCTCCCTGGCTCCGCCTGGTGCTTGGACCAACCAGCTGAGGTCCTCCTCGACGATCTCGCATCGCACGATGCAAAGAGCGACTCCACCGAGGCGATGGCTGCAACTCCCATCGCCTGAGGAGCGAGCGTCACAGAAGAGCACTGGAACAGAAGGGATTCGGAATCCAATAGAAGTTTGCAGTCTTCCTGTAAACCCTTGTGAGTACACTCTGTGGCTTCTACTTATAATGCCTAAGTAAAGGGGATTGGGTTGTCGGGTCCACGAGGGCCCCCCTTGCTTCCCCGGCCCGTGCTTGTGCGCATGCGGGCGCACACGCGCGGTTCCGCTGCTCCTGCTGTGAACCGAAGCACCTTTTGGACCAACATCCATTTCTGCCCAGTCCCGCTCGGGCCCCGTCTGCCAAGGACACAAAAGTCATGGTCACCAAAAATTCGGCACCTTTTGTGGCTCTAAACATCCCAACTGTGTTGGGCCTCTCGGGCTCTCATCCCAGCTGCGGTTTACGAGTTTACGACTTTGGGACTCATGCCTTCCACTGGCTCGGAGTCGTAGCAGGGCCAAACTTCTCTTCCCGAGCTCTTCGCTGTGCCCGCCGTTACGTGTGCTCTTGAAGCATTGGTTGGTGTGGGCGGAATCTGAGAATGCAGCTTCTCTGTGGTCGTCGGATTACTTGGTAGTGCTACTTCGTGGAAAGCGGGGCATGGTGGCCGTTTGTGCAGCAGAATCGCGGAGCTCCATCTGCCACGTGACACGCTCCGTGGTGCCCGCAAGGAAACCTCGCAACGCTATGCAGACATGCCCCGACGATGTGCTCCGGCTAGCCTAGGGCCTACGGCAGCGGTGCACTGGCTGTGCCCCACTCATCAATGAACATGCTTGTGTCCGTCTGCCTTCGGTCGTCGATTCGATCCCTGCCACCGTTGCCTGCGCAATACCTTGGGTGCAACTGCAAAAGAATGGTTGTAGGAAGTGCCAGCTGCAGATAGAATGTTCTCGAAGGTCGAGCCAACGACAAGTCAGCACTCGTCTGAGCGTGAGACTGGGCTGGAGCTTGTCAGAGGTGGCAATCTCTTCCTGGAAACAGGACAAGCCAATGCGAACTAGCGTCCCTCGCCGGCTTTCGAATTCCTGAAGACGTGCAACTCAAGCCGACTCCTCGCAGGGCATCAACTCCCGCACCCAGCCAGAGCATTTCAGGGTCTCATCATCCACTCCCTCGCCAGGCGAACTTCTCAAGCTCAAGGCAATCGCACATCCGACTCACGACACCGCTTTGTACTACGCGGTTATGAACGATTCCCTTTTTCTTGTCACTATATCACTATATTACTATATTTACTATATTGTATATTACTATGTTACTATGTTACCGTAATATTTACGCAGTCTCAGAAGAGGAGGAAGGCCCCCTGCGCTTTGGCGGCCGCTCCGCCGAGCCTGCAGGCGACGAGCTCCAGGGTAGTCGACGGTGTCCGTGGTCGCCTCGTATCCTGGGCTCTTCAAGGCTTCGGAGCTTCGGAGTTTCGGAGTCTCAGATAGCTAAGTTCTGCTGCTCAAGGCTTCCGGAATTTCGGGATACTGTTTGGGACTGGTCGCCACCCACCCTGGACCATGCTATCAAAGCGTCTCGTGTCTGCCCACGGAAGAGGCAACATCACCATGCTTTGCCTCGTGGGCAGGAAGACTGCACGGAGAGAGAACAGAACCATCCGGAAGGTTGGAAGCTAAATGCAGACCAGCAGCATGATGTCGTTGTGAACCGCATCTGTTGCCCAGCAGAGCACATCGTACGTTGAATTCTCTCGCAAACTGCCCAGGGTCACAAAGGTGATTCCGCCGTTGAATTTGGGAACACTTCTGCGGTCTAGTCTAGAGTCTGTAGTACGGCCTGTGTTATGCGACCCTGTATTTCCAACTGTCCTTCCGGAGAGCACTGCCTCATTTTCACGGCCTGGCCTTGGGATAGTCAAGTTCTGAGCTTCTGCACGGCTGAAGTTGGCGTGGAACGGCAGAGCGAACAAACGCTGCCACCAGCTCCTGCGCGGATCTTCGCGAAGGACTCGACATGCACAACCACACGCTTTACAAGCGAAGCACGTCCGTGATGGAACCCACAAATTGCAATTCTCCAATGGATGAAACTGTCGCTCAGCCCCCCCCCCCCCCCCCCCCCCCCCCCCCCCCCCCCCCCCCCCCCCCCCCCCCCCCCCCCCCCCCCCCCCCCCCCCTCCCCCCTTCACCCCTTTGCCACGAGTCTCCAGCGCGCAGTCTGGATTTCTTGGGCAAGTTGGCCATCAGCGAAAGCATCCCAGGCTTTCAACCAGGTCGAGTTGTCCTGTGGCCCCAGCATGCCCCAGCAGAAAGGGCCAAGAAAGCGCAAGGCACAGGAGCCGGCGTTGTTCACAGTTTGCGCCGTGCTCCACAGGCAAGCTCCACTCCAGACACGCTCTAGAGCTGACCCCAGGCATCTTCACCAAGCGTCGTCGGAGAACTCCACGCTGATGTTGTTGGCCCCGCAGACGGAACCCGTGGTCTCCTAAGATCACGAACTGAAAGTTCCTCAAGTCGAAGTAATGAGTTACGACTTCAGGGGCCCAAACTCGAACGAAAGGACTGGACTGGACCGTGGAGACTAAAAGGGAATCACCTGCTTGCAAACATCCTTCTGGCGGCACCCCCGGAGTTCCAAAGCATTGCTGTTGCATGGAGGGTGCAGAGTTTCCGAACACTAGTATCCGCCGTGCAAAGGTTTCTCTAGAGAATGGCGAGTGTTGCCGGATCGCTGGCCTCCCAGAATCATGCATCCGTCTACAAGCCAAGCTTCGTTTCCAGCGTCTCCGTAGTCGAATTTCACCTGCAGTGGCCAACAACTACCTGGACCTTGGAACTCGCCAAAACTCGGAGACCGGGCCTGCGTCACTGTGGGAAGCGGCTCGACGAAGATCTCCGCCTTGGGAAGCTTTAGGCTCTAAGACTCTAAGCCACGCATGCCCGGGCTCCACCGCCACCCCGCATTCCGCGCCTCGCAGAGCCGCAGCCGCTTGCCCTCCGGTTTCGCGACGACCCACACCTTTCACAAAGCATTCCCACACAAAACAGCAAGCAAGCTTTCGGATAACTGCAGCACAGGAGCAGTACTGCCCCTGCTCTCCTGCAGCTGCAGCTGGTACGCTTCGCATCTTAGCAACGTTAGGGCTGAAGCGGCCAGTCCTGAATGCATGCGATGGGCAACGCCGGCTTGAAAGCATCCTGGCAGCAGCCGGTGACAAGATCCGTTTCGAAGTCTGTCACAAGCAAACTCTCGCCGACACAAAGGGCTCCTGCAGATTTCCTATCGGAACATCCTGTGCACAGAGGGTGCCCTGCGTCAGAACGTCATCCAGTGGTATGTGTAGCACCACTTCGTAGTGGCATGTTGCGACCTCGCCGGACGAATGCTAAGCAAAGCTTGCGTCTTAGATTTGAGTCGAAGGTGCATGCCAGTGGAAAAGTTGAGCGCAGGCCAAACCCCGGAAAGCCTGCCTCTCCCACGGTCACCACCAGAGAACTGAGACTGGCATCGATCACCGCACGGAGGGTGGCATGGCGCTGTCCGGCGCCGCAGCTAACACCGTTCACCTCAGGGTCACAGCACGAAACCCCTAATTGTTTATACCGTCAGAAAAGAAGCTGCCCCACATGCTCCGAGTGTTTAAGCGCGTTTTAAAAGCCTTGATTGACGACAGGCTTCAACTGACGTAACGCAGATTGCAACCTGAGCCGAGCGTCGTAGGACTGTACATTGTCCACGGTGGAACTGTATCCACCAATCAAGAAGTAGGTCGCGGAAGCTGCTGGCGCGAAGCCAGTGGCATCACATGCGGCGGAAGACGACAGCGTGTCTTCCTGGTACTGTCTTCTGCTTTGGAAAACAAGCGTGTTGTCTGAAAAAATACTATGACTCATGCTGCTGGGCGTCCTCAACCATCTGCCCTACGGAGACCCTGTAACAGTACTGGGTCGTGTCATTGTAAATGTAGAAGGTCTGGCCGATGTAGTCATCCACGGAGATGACCGTCCCTACATCTTGCTGATCGCCTTGAGTGCAACCCGATTCAACAGTCCGAGGTAAATGTGCAAATATCTCGGACCGATCGGCATTCTCGAAGCTAGCATAGCAGATCCCTCCGATTCGCTAAGGTGGCGCAATCCTGCCGAGAAGCTCGACGAGACGTACACGTCTGCCTGCAGGTTTTGGAGACAGCTCTTAGACACCACTCTATAACTTGTGCCCACTGCATGCACCAAGCTGCCATGGTCGCCACACCGGGCCCGGGTAGCCCAGCCAGCCAGAGTCCCTGCCTTATGACATTATGATGCTACAACTACCCGGCTCCAAAAAAAAAGTGTGACGTTTGCGTTAAATGTCAAGCCGCACGAGCTGCGTCCTCTCCAGCGTCATCCGCCACCAAGGCCTCCCATATCCGGAGGGATGTCGCAAGTTTGCACCACTAGCCCAGACTCATGGAACAACCAAAAGGTTCCTCGAAAGTACACACATGTCGCGCAGTACACGATTTTGAGCCACTCGTCCAAGCAAACTGACTGGGGGACGGCTGGATGAGACGTTTTTTGACATGGAATTCCACAGGTTGAACCTTTGCACCTATGCACACGAAGCATACCGGCTGCTTAATGTCCACAGGATTTACTTTGAGCCTGGGACCTCCGTCGCCGCCGGGCACTTGGCTGTTATGACCGTGAAGACAAGAAGCCAAGAGAATTCTGACCAACTCCACGTCAACACCGAAGTCATAACAGAAACCGTGGGCGAGCCTTTCTCCACGCAACGGTGTGTTGCGACTCACGAACAGAAGTCACAAAAAAAGACGTTTCCCACCATCTAACCGCGGATCAATTCGAGCAGCTAAGTCGAATCCATATGCTGTGTTCACAGGAAGTCATAACATCTGCTTTTCCCCCATGTAAGCGCGCTTCAGCACAAGGGCATAGGCTTAGCGCATCCGTGGTGCGCGTATCGTAAAGAGGAAAGAGTGTAGGTCCGGCACCGCGCCAGATAGCAAAGACCCTCTTGGCAATAGAAGAGTTAGTAAAATGAGTCAGTAATTCTCCTCCCATGTTTGATGCTTGCTGCCTGCCATCAGAACTGATATCGTAAGTTGCTGCATCCAGCTGACATTAATGAAGACCTTACGCTGCAAAGCTTCCCACTACAGCATGCTACTGTCAACCGTCTGAATCATTGATGGCCTGCTTTTCTGCAATCCCATTTTCAGGCAGTTTTACCAGTGTGACCGCGGAGTGATGAAGCATATGCGTGTACCTTCCCCCAGTGTCTGTGCCAATGTAGTGAGATGCGGTAATGCCCTTTATTGCGAAGACCGGGTTTTGCATTGTGCACATTAATGAAGTTGTGTTCATTGTAGATAAGGCCACTCGACCGGCAAATGTCCAGAGACTCCCTAGGCACCGACAGAAGGGCCTTTCGCTCCTCGTTTACGTTTACGGGATCGCGACCCCGTAGCTTGCAGCTTCAAGCTTCACACTTCCCACCAGCAGCAGCGAGAATAACGCCCGAAACTATGATATACGTCGCTGCATGCTTCCAGTTTACCATTTCCAAGTCAAAAGCGTGCGAACATCGAGCTGGCAAACCGAAACAATCCCCGGCTAATGCAGGCACAACCTCTGCAGCCCACCTGCTGTCGGTTACACTGGTACCTTCGCCACCAGTCTCCATGCAGGACGTCCTTGCAAACTAGTCGCGAAGCTCCACATGTGTGGGCAAACAGCATACATATACACCCTTCCAGCAACCCGCGAAGCTAACATACCCGACTCTTGCCAAGGGTCTCGTCTGTGTCCCCCATGAACCTCGAAGGGGACGCAACAGAAGCAAGGACACTTCAGCAGCACAATCACTGCTGACCGGACAGCTCTCCGTAGCCAGGAGACCACACCATTTCTTCTGCTGTGCCATAGCGGGCGGAGCTTTGCCAGCTCCGCAGCTGGTCAAAGAGTGCCATGTGTCGGAACTGCCGGGCACAGCCCTGCCTTCCCACGCCTCGTTGCGACGATCCCACGAAGTCCGTACTGTGGCGACTTTGACAACGAAGGGAAACATGTCACAGTCAAGTCCGGATTTGCTTGCTAGCTGGGCTACTGAGACCTGAGATGATGGTATCGTTGTGCTCGTCAGCAGGTAGCACAGCGCTGTACTCCATCTCCTGGCATTGTGTCGGGGATATGCTCCCGCAGATTGAAACGCATGAACCACTGCATACCTTCGCCCGTGCAAGCGGCCAGGGGCGACACACAAAGCCTCGTTGTTTTGATTCCTCCCAGAATCCCCATTGATAGACCCCGGATCCCCGGATCTCATGAGGGTGGGGTCAGACAAGATGGGCCAGATCGGGCAGTCTGGTTGGATCGCCCGACATAGCCAGCGGAAAAACAGAAACGTGCAAACCCAGTCGGTACCCCGCATGCTTGTGGTTTGAGCTGCATGTACATAGGAAGAATGCGGAAACTTCGAAACGAGGGAACTGAGACCAGCCTCACCGCAGAGCCGCACTGTGGCAGTGATTTGGATGTCTGCCCAAGGCTCGGCAGCAGCAGCGCGTCTGTAGACCTGGCCGAAGCCAGGCAAGGCTTCCCTGTGTAGCTTCGGCAGAAAAATACAGTTTCGGTGTACGGCTTTTCCCGCCAGCATACAAGGTGCAACTTCTGGAATCTAGACACTGCAAGGACCCGAAACATAAAGGCGAGTTGGTTCTTTACTTGGAACGCGGCTCTCGACACCGCACCTGAACGTCATACTTTCCGGCAATGGCAAGCACGAATATAGTGCTCAGGATCGGCGCTGGGCAATTGTCGCCTGTTGGAAGAGCATTTGCTGTGAGTATGTCTCAACTACATGAACGAAACCAGCTCTCCTGGGCTGCACTGCACAGCGTAGACGCCGAAATCGCTGACTCGGTAATAATCCCCGTCTGTGAGATTGAACTCCAAGTACTCGTCTCCTGCAAAACTTCCAGCATGCATGCACAGGCACTGCCAAGCAGGCACTGGCACGGTGGCAACTGATGTCCTGGACCAATCACCGCAAGGTCCAGGTCATTCACGTTGCCTGGGCTAGGACAGCAGTCAATTCTGTGATGAGGTCATCGACATTTACACATTTTCTGGGACTGGACCTTTTGCTGCAAGTATCGAAGGAGCCCGAAGTGTCAGAGCACAACAGCGGGTGAGTGCGGACATCCATGGCTGCCCCTTCGCGCCTTCCCAGCGAATCGCCACAGCCAGGTCTCCCTCGAAAAGGACCCCCTGTCAAAGTAGTTTTACAATCGCTCTCAAAAGGGCATCAGAAAGCTGATGCGGTGGGCCGGAACACAAGAATCATCTCGATCGGAACGTCTTGTCCTGTCTTTCCCCCCACCCGCACCTGTTCCCGGACGCGGCGCTCAGACTCGGGCCTATGCTGCAGGTCGATGCCAACCTTTGATTCGGGGAAGCTGTCGCCCGGTCAGCGTGTTGTCGTGTACAGAACTGACCAGGTCCCTGGCCTACTCCGCCTCTCGTGTCTGGTCAGTCTAGAGTACTGAAGCTTCAAAAACACAGAGCCAAGCCGCCCATGCATCTTCCATTGGCAAAGACCACTGTGCGATCTCGACAAGATCAACGAGGCCATCAGAGTCCGTGTCAAGACCAATCCTTGTCTAGTCATCAATTTGTGAAGTTGCTAGGTGTACACACGCAAGAGATATTCGAAGCAACCACACGCGGGGATACGCTCGTTTGTGGACCCCTGCCCAACCTTTTCTGAGGCTTCCTTCCGAATCGGATGATTCCTTGAGTTGTTGTGGGGCTTCGACTAAGCCGGACTTCTTACTTTGTCAAAATTTTGTTCGGAGGCATATCTTTCCAGCCACTTCGTTGCTCCTTACTGGGTGCGTCCTGTGTTTCTGCAGTCGTCGCGCGATCTTTTTCATAATGTGAGTGGAGGGGTGCACTAGTTTCCAGCCAAGTCGGAGTGGTTTCCAGGAGTCAGCTCAACAAATTTCCCTAAGAGTTCTCAGGTATCTGCAGAGTGGGTCTGGGGGGGGGGTCAGACACAGGACATCCTGTACGTAGCATTAAAACGCAGATTCAACTGCTTTAACATATTGTAACTATTGAATAACGAATAATAATGAAAACCATGATGATCTAGGATGGTGTTCAAAGAACTTCTGAAATCCAGGTCAGACCTGATGGAGTTTCGGTAGGCTCAAGCGACCTCGTGACCAGAGTCTCCGTCTTCGATTTGGGGGTTTCGGGTTATTAAGGTTTAAGAGTTTGGGATTTGGGGTTGTGGGATACCATCCAATGTTGGATTTCTACTAGGCATCTAGTAACGACAAACTAAAGGGGTCTACAGTTCTCGCGGGGGTGGCTGCGCATGTGGCAATCGTGGCATGGCAATGTAATTGTGGCGAACAGTCTGTGCGCATTTGCAGCACATTCGGGATCCTACTTTGTGATGGGTGGAAACGATACCAGCGGACCCGTCTTAGCAAGAGATTGAGGAAGTACCTTTGAATTTTTCAGAGCAATCTACCACTATGGGAGGGGGGTTGACATGCAGTTTCTGGGCATCGGCCGACTTATGCCGACTTATGAAAGTGAGCTAGATGAAATGTGGGGGGTGGGGGCTTGCATAGACTAGCTCGCTAGAGATCAATAGATGAGCGCGTGGTGTGATATTCTTCGCCGGGACGCTGATCCTGGGGGTATGTTGGATCTGAACCAAACATCGCGTTCCTGAAGGTCTCCCCACCTTGGCATCAGAAGCGATAATGCTCTCACCTCCAAGGCACTGTACCGAAAGACGTTCGGGACAAGACGTGTGAGGAAAAGGACGAACATGAAGCTGCCGCTTTACATTCTTGCCGCATAGGCTGCCTATTGGCGAAGGTGCTTGCAATTCCGGTCCTACGCTGAACATCTTAGGATCGGCACATGGTTCAATGAGAGGTACCCCAAGATTGCAGGTGGACCGTCCGGAGGAGGATTCGATCTGCGCACTCTCGGTCGAGTGTCGTGTACCTCCACACCCGCTTGCTTTCAGTCTTGGCACGAGTTTGGAGTTCCTTGCTTTGCCTGCAAGGTTTTGATTGCATTGGACTTCGGAAATCTTGCAGGCGATGAATGGAACGGTGGCAGATAAGTTTACAGTGACTCCATGCGAGGGACCGGGTTCTGGAGCATGTTCTGAAGCACAGTAAGTAGGTAAGTGGATTGCACTCATGAAGAGTTGGTGTTGCCCGGGCTGGCCACAATCCGAAGCCCGATATGATGATTCAAGCTTTGGTTCAAGACCCTGCTTAATTCTCGAGCTGACCGCATCTGGAGCATCTCTGGCTCAGATGCACTCGACTTTGGAAACCGCACGACCTATGATCTGTTCGGGCCTGGTGTCGAAACGCAGCCGCCAGAATCGATGCTCAAAGTACCTCTCGTGCTCCTGGCACATGTCATGTATCCGCATCAAGCGCTCTGGCCACAGCGAGTCTTCGTCTCAAGCACTAAAGCTGAGTCTTCGGACCCCAGAAAACTGAAAAAAAAAAAAAAAACTTCTCTTCACTTACTTCACCGGCCCTTACCCAGCCAGAACCTCATCCGACCAAACCGAACGGCGGACCCTCCGAGGCGTGTGACCTCAATTTTACCACAAGGATCTTCGAATGAGCTCAGTTTATGGTCTTCCGGTGCTTCACCCTACGGACTCTACGTGTGTTTAGATATGGGTGTTTCAGGTGCATCGGGCGGTATGGTTGGAATCCGGAAGCGCTAGTAGCCACAACTACAACGCCGCCGCAACAAACTAACCGCCAATGCGACTCCCAAATATGAAGCCCGGGACCGGACTGGCCTGGGGCGCCTTGCCGTCCTGCAACAAATGTCTGAAACTGAGGCTCAGTTTGACCGTCTTGCGGTGCTGCTGGCTTGGTGTCAGGAGTTGCGGTGGCCCAAGCTGTCACTTGTGCCTGTTGGCAACATGGAACCCGTACGTGGGATAGTAACTCCGAAACGGCGGAATGTTCCCTCCCCATTTGCTCTGCTCCTTGCAGTTCCGCAGAGACCCCAGACTATAGTTCAACAGAGAGTCGCCCGGGCCCACGCCCAAGTGTCAGAAGCTCGAATCCAGCTCGCAGCCATCAGTCCAGATCAGACCAACTGATTCCAAGCCCCAACAGCAAAGACCCCGCAGCCCCTAACTCCAGAGCCCGAGAGCCTTGGTCGTGGCCATGCATCTGGCCATAGCAGGATAGCTTTGCCCCGGGTCCATCAAGCCTGAGGGCTCTAGCAGATGGAGTCCGAAGCCTTTGGACTCAGAAGTCCTCTTTGAAGAACGGCCCAGCTGACACCGAGTTCCGGGCTCACTTCCACGGTGATGGACAGGTCACTCGGGTAGATGTGCTGGATGTTAACCTTTGGTGCAGTGGTGTCCTCAGTGCAGTGCCGAAATGCGGTACAGTACTGCACCCATGGCGTTGCATCGCTTGATCGAGCCAATAGGTGTATCACTGCTGTAGCAGCACACTCGAATGCGGGGAGCCCAAGGCTCCGGCAACCTACTTGCCACGCTATCTATGCTCAAGACAGAAGGGCGGTCACGACAGCACGCCGCCGTCCGGCGACCCCACTACGTACTTACTCGCTACGTGCTTGCACCGATGCTGGAGTTATGCCATTCGCAACGGGTGGCCGTGGTGTGGAACGTGACCGGTGCTGACTGGCTGTACATCTGATTGCCGTAGTCATCCTCCCCGTAACAGAAAACCTGCACGATTGTGGGCATTGGGATGCGCAGCTGGAACAGCTCCCCACATGTCGTGAGAGCAGCGATGTTGTTTCAGTCACTTCTGCAATGTGCACAACGGCTTGAACCCTAAATCACTCTATCCTGGAAGGCCCACCATGCTGCAAACCCCGAACGCTCCCGCGCTGTGAGGCCTCGTAGCTGCGATTCGGCTGGAGGCCACCGATCGTCACATGATGCATAGTGCCATTGTCCGAGAACGGCGTCGGTAGACCCTCGAAACATACTGTCTGAATTACTCGATTGCAGAGGGAGCCCTTGAATTGGGATTTGGGATTGTCGGTAGCGGCTGTGAGTGCTCTGTGAGTTAACTTCCATCCATCCTTTCATGCGTGCGTGCATACACACAGACAGCATGTAGCTACGTACGCATGTACATGCAAACACTTGCAGGATTCCATGCACGTGTGCATGCATGCACTTCTACATGCATGCATGTATGCATGAACCGACGAAGGCAGAGAAGCTGATAGAGACACACGCACACACGCACACGTGCACACGCCCACCAAGACAGGCCTCCGCCATGTCAAATTTGTTCACGATATCCTGCATGGACTCTCGAGGGCGACAGGAGCTTGAGCTTCTTTAAATGCTTACATAGTACTTAGTACCTCTAGTCTCCTCTCATGGGGTCATGACATCCTGCGGAGCATTGCAAGAGCGCTCCTCCAGCCGGGTGTCAAAGGCAGTGGCATAGGCTTCAATCTCACAGATTCGCATCCCGAAGGGCTCCGGCAGGGATCGGAGCTGCGTCACGCTGCCCCATACACTGACCCAACTGCCCTGGATGGCCTTGTCAGACATTGTGAGACGTCTGTATGATGGAGCCTGCCTATATGCCTCACCTACGACTGCTGTTTTTCCGGAAACCAAGCTATGCCATTGCTCCCGAATGAAACTTAAACGCAGGAGTTTGGGCTAGCAAGTGGTCCCAGCCAGGCACCCAGCCGGCAAGACTGCATGCAATCTGGCACATCGACCATTGAACAGCACTGATCTATGTTTAGCTGCAGCATCCACATCTAACTTGATGAAAGATGCTGTGCTGCATGGCCATATATGGTCGCCGGTGGCGTCTGCAATGACCTAAGCACGCTTGAGAAGCGACAAGAGGTGGTCGGGCTTGTGCGCCGGTGAGGCAGGACGACTCCCTATTAATTTTCGCCGTGATGGTCATCGTGGCAGGATCTTGCAGGCGCCTGTAAACATGAAAAGGGCTTCTTGTCCAAAAACGGGATATGCTGAAGATGAGGGGCTGTGCAAAGTGTGTCGGTCTGGCGGCTTCCAGCAGTGCCCACCTTGGCCGTTGTCAGCCACGGAAGCGAGCAATTGGCGAATGTCCGTTCGAGGACTCTCAGAAGCGAAACCCGCCATGCCTCTCTAAGACTCTAAGTCTAAGAGTTTCCGACACAGGAATCTGAAGCTAAGTTGCGAAGACAGACCAATCAGCAGACTGCTCTGGGCGGCCATCCGTTGGCACCACCAATCCTTGTTGAGTTAAGCTTCTGCGGATCCCGTGATGCTACAGCGTAAGAAACTACATTCATTAGCGGCATGCCATAACAGGGCAAAGCATACTTCTTGTGATTTCCAAGCGTCGGATGGCTCTGATGCGATAGAGCAGGTCGCCGAGATCAATTCGGAAATAAGGTGTATTCACGTTGTCCTGTGTCACGTAGTGCATGGGTTCTGGGAAAAGATGGAACAGGCTTCAGGGGTCATTGGCAAAGAGCGCTCTCTTCATGCACCACATCAAAGAAAGATCCAAGGTTGAAACTTGGCAAGCTCTTCTCCGATCCTGCCGGCGCGTCGAGGCGCAGACGTGGACGGGATCGTTCCTCGGATTGCTTTCGTTCCGTCGATTTGGTGCGAGGTGCCTGCGGCTGCTGCCTCGGCTTAGAGTCCTGGGCTACTCGAAACGAACCTGCTGACGACGACTGAGATTCGCCGCGCAGTACTCGCAGAAGGTGTTTTCGCCCCAAGCTCCATCCACTGCCTCATCAATGTGGAATGAAGCCAGCTACCACAGAGATGGCATGAGGATGAACTGCAACGACATGAAGGGCGACACGGGGTCCCAAGCTCAAAAGCCTCAGCCTGAAGATCCTCAACCCCGGAAAGCCTGAATCTCGAATCACCGAAGACTTGCCTTCTCTGCGAGCCCGCCGAAGGCGGAAGAGGAGGATTCGATGCGCCGGCCCTGTAGCAGGTTGCCCGGCCTGGCCCAGTTGCAGGAAGATCAAGACGTGATTTGTGCTTGGGTTGAAGGTGGAAGGTTTAGGTGATCCGGGGGGGCTACTACGGGTCTGGAATTAGTTTGGGATTTTTTATTTTTTTGGGGGGGCATTTTTTTTTTGTGGTTTGCTTGGCCGATCCCTGTGGAGGGTTCATCGGGGACGTAGAAAATTTGCACCGCACCACAGCGCCAGCGCTTCGACGCGCAGGATCCCTGTGGAGGGTTCATCGGAGTTTCCTTGATGTCGTCGTGGTCGTCGTCCTGGTTGTTGTTGTTGTTGTTGTTGCTGTTGCTGTTGCTGTTGTTGTTGATGATGTTGTTGTTGGTCGTGGTTGTTGTTGTTGCTGCTGCTGTTGTTGTTGTTGCTGTTGTTGCTGTTGTTGTTGTCGTTGGTTGCTGTTGTTGTGGTTGTGGTTGTGCTTGTGGTTGACAGGGTGAGGGATCAAAAAAAATTTAAATAAGGATCAAAAGATTAAAGCACCAGGGTCAAAAAACTAAAACAATGATGAAAAAATTAAGTCACGTAAAATACAGCAATTCCTGGGGCAGAGGCATAAAAAAAAAAACAAAATAAGGATCAAAAAAATTGAATCACTCAAAATACAGCAATTCCTGAATTTCCCAAGGGAAAACATTATTTTCCTATTGATTTTCTTTCATTTCCTTAGGATCTGATTGGTTTTTCCTCGGGGAAACACGATTTTCCTACGGATTCCGTGGTATTTCCTGAAATTTTCCCTGGTTTTTCCCAGGACAAACACCATTTTTCTATTACCTATGGCATTCGTGTCATTTCTTCAGGTTTTCAGAAGGAAAACATACGCTATCTTTGGTTGTTCCTCGGGAAAATCAAATTTTCGTTGCAATTTCGCATTTAGGACGGAATTCGTGTTGTAGCTGTTGCTGGTATTCCGCTTCATCACCTATCTTAAACACACCCCCTCATTTGGCGATTCTGGTTAGCGGGGGGGTTGGGGGGGCGCAGCCCCCCCCATTTGCAGACACAACGCTCACATGATGGGTTTCGAAAACACTGTTTGAATCAAGCTTGCACGGCTCGAAAAGCGCGGCGGTGGGTCTTTCGTTCTTCCGTGCCTGTTCGTGTCTCTTCTTCCGTCAGCATTCTATAACATAATATAACATAGTAAACCATAAGAACGACATAAGATGGTTCGATATCACAAAAACCGTGTGGCATTTTCTGACATAACAGAACCTTGCTTCTTATAGCATCTAATAAACATAACATAAGACGACAGTACGATATAACAGAAGATAACATAGAACAAAACAAGATCTTAGTTTATAGTGTAGTACATTGTAACATAGTACAATATAGTTTTTATATATAGAATATAGAACATAATATTTGGTATATTATATAACATCAGGTTACATTATGCTAAATATGTTAGGGTCCATTACGATATTATTGCATATTCGATTGGACTATGTAGTATCCTATTGCTTGTATCTTTGTTTCTGTGATTCTTTCATGTTCTTTCTCTTTCGTATTTTCCAACTTTGCCTGTTTATTCTGGATTTATTTCTTTCTTTCGCTCGTTCATTTATTTTATTTCTTTCTGGTGTTCTTTCTTTATTCATTTCATACTCCCTTCCTTCCTTTCTTATTTGGCGATTCTGGTTCGCGGGGGGGTTGGGGGGGGGCGCAGCCCCCCCCATTTGCAGACACAACGCTCACATGATGGGTTTCGAAAACACTGTTTGAATCAAGCTTGCACGGCTCGAAAAGCGCGGCGGTGGGTCGTTCGTTCTTCCGTGCCTGTTCGTGTCTCGTCTTCCGTTAGCACTCTATAACATAATATAACATAGTAAACCATAAGAACGACATAAGATGGTTCGACATCACAAAAATAGTGTGACATTTTCTGACATAACAGAACCTTGCTTCCTATAGCATATAATAACATAATAAAAGACGACAATACAACATAACAGAAGATAACATAAAACAAAACAACATCTTAGTTAACTTATGTCATTTCGTCTTTCCTTATTTCTCCATTTTTGTTCATTCGTTATGTCTGTATTATTTGCTTTTCTTTGTTTCTAACTCTCGTTCGTCCTTTCCTTGTGTTTTCTTTTTTCTTTCCTTATAGCTTTCTTTATTTATCTATTTGTGTATTTTTGATTTCTTTCTTTCCTTATAACTATGCTTTATGTATTTCGTTCTTTCTTGCTTTCTTGCTTTCTTCCGCTCTTTCTTTGTTTCGTTCTTTCTTTCTTTATGTCTCTCTCTCTCTTTCTCTCTTCTCTCTTTCGTTTTTTTTCGTTCTTTCTTTCTCTCTCTCTCTCTCTCTCTTTCTGTGTCTTCTTTCCTCCGTTACCCCCCCCCTCCTTTCGTGGATACCTGTTTAATTTTTTTGTGATCCTTATTTAATTTCTTTTTGATCCTTATTTTATTTTTTTGATCCTTATTTAATTTGTTTTTAACCCCTATCCCGTGGTTGTGGTTGTGGCTGTGGCAGAGGACTAGGGGACCGCATGCACCAGGGGACCAGGAGACCACGGGACCAGAGGACCAGCAGACCAGAGGACCAGGGGACCACAGGACCAAGGACCAGAGGACTAGGGGACCGCGAGCAGAGGACCAGGGGACCACAAGACCAAGGACCAGAGGACTAGGTGACCGCATGCACAAGGGACCCTTGGCCGCACCTCGCAAACAAGGGTAGGCCGCACCTTGGAAAAAAAAAACCATGGCCCCTATCCCGCTTTACTGACCTAAATTCGCCTCGGCTCGGCTTAGGGTTGAGGGCGTGACTTAAGGACTGATTTATGAGGCTCTCTATGCCGAAGAAAAAGGCCAAGAAGCCGAAAAGCCAAGAAGCCAGAGGCCAAGAAGCCAGGGAAGCCGAGAAGCCAAGCCAAGCGCGCACACAAGCCAAAAAACAAAAATGCCAAAAAAAAAAAAAAAAAAATCCTAAAATAAATACGCCTCCGGCTACTACTGGCAAAGTACTCCATTACTGCTGACCCTTTCATTGTATCATGCTCTTCTCTAGTGATGGTTTTGAGATGTATGTAGTGCCCTGGAACGAGGTTCCAGCACTGCAGACATGTCTCGGATCGGCCTGGGGCAAACATAGACCTCCGCAAAGACGTTGCGCTGAGGACCTGTGCATGTCAAGCACCCTGGATCACCCGGACGCATGTCGGAAAGATGGTGCTGAGGCTACAGAAGTCGTCACAATGCCCTGAATCCAAGTGCTCGAAGGCAGTCAAGGTTCCACAATGTTGCAAAGCTTGCGAGAAAGATTGTGTCTTGGATTCACTATTTCTTCCGACTTTCTCCAGCACATCCAAGACATCGAGCACTGCTGTCGTGGTGGCGAAATGACTTGGCCTGCACTCCAATATCCTGCACCGACCGTCACGTAATTCAGGTGATCCAGTGGTGATGAGTCGATGTACCTGTGCTGAAGCAAGCCGCTGATGGGGATCATGTAAGCTCGTGCAGGCAGCTCTGCGGCTCTGCATCTAAGTCGGAACTGGGGGAATAGTGTGGTCGTGTCTGATTTCGCTCAAATACCGAAGTGAACCCCAAACTCTGCAGTAAGCTCAAGCAGCTTCTCAGCTGAGGCTGTACCAGGTGACTCATCATGCGACGAGCGAGGCTAGTTGGGAAAGTTGTGCTGTCCACAAAGTGCTTCTGAGCACGATATGAGGATGTTGTGCCCGATGATCTCATCAGCACCCACACGAATCCTGGACGTGACAAGTGACAAGTCCAATCAGCAAAGAGGCGGCCGCAAACAGAACGAATTCAACAAAAGAAGAACACCTGCAAAATTTGCTTGCTAAGGCTCAGCCCCGTTTGCGGGTCCGCATCGAACCACCAGGTCCGAAATCGAACCTGATCCAGAATGGGATCCTGGTCCTGGATTCGCTGAGCCCGACGGGCGGGTTGGCTGCAGTGGGCATTGGGTGAATCTTAAGGGCTGGCCAAATCGAAGCCCTGCTTGAGCACTCAACATACGAGTTGCTTGGGCTGACTGTCCGGCAGTGCACGTCTCTTCTTTGCTGACATGGCAGCACGAAGGGTCAAGAACAACGGCCGTGCATATGAACTACCAGTAACTACCGGAATCCGAACACTCTGACTCTGGCCCGGAAGCTTCGCAAAAACCATCAAAAACCCTAAGCCAGTGAAAACCTTCCACGGAGCCCAGCTTCCGGTGTGGAGTAGGTCACCAAAGCAGTTGGTGGCCCGAGATCTTCCTTGCATTGCAGCAGGCTCCAGGTGTTGAATGAGGCTTCAGTAGCCGCTGAACACTCACAAGGGTTACCGAAGACAAACCATCACCCCTGACGAAAAAGGCTTCGGATGCAGCCCTGGTGTCGTTAGCTGGCTCCCTGGCATGGCCCCGTGACAGAGTGACTCGGGTGTTCTCCCAGCCGCCGAGCAAAACTTCGTATCCCAATTGTCCAGGCTCCCCGATAAAGAAGTGCACCTCGGTGTACAGGCGGTTGGGACGCTTGACGCTTGATTCTGCCTGTGCTCTCGAGCGATGCCAGGACATCCACTATTCCGCCTCGCAAGGCCTGCCAGCGCTCGAAAACGGCAGCCGAGAGACATCTTGGTAGGCACGAACGGTCATCACGAAGCTCACCTGCACGTCGCCAGTTAAGTTCTTCAAGAGCCGTTTGCACTGCTCGGGAGGATGGTTCGTTCGTTGATAACGTTTAAACGTTGATGTTCAGAGAGGGTCTTTTGTGTTCTCCGACATCAAGGATAATCGGATAATCAGTGCCTTGAATGAAGCATGGCAGACTTCAGAGCCCTCCACGCTCATGATCTTGAAACAGTAGGCGAGCCGAGAGTGCCAGATGCAGCTTCAACGAGTGCGGCTGATGACGCTGATTGATGACAGTGCTCTTCAGGATCGAAGAAGCGCGGGGCGCAGGATTCCAGACGCCTCGGCTACGTCATGCATCCGGGACCCGTGCCGGAGATCAGAGACGCCGCGGGCAGCGAGGTGGATTGAGCACCGTGCTCCGTTTTGACGCAGTACGACCCGGTGCGGGTGGGCTGTGTCGAGGGATTGGTTGTGTGTTGAGCTGCGGCACTGTACGCTGCGGGCCGCATCCACGCATGCGGAATGTGCGGCACGGGAAAAGCATCGATGCCGGTTGCTTGCATGCTCGCATGGCTATCGCGACTAGCAGGTGGCGATGGTGACGGTGGCTGTGATGATGATGATGATGACGATGATGATGGTGCTGATGATGACGGTGGTGGTGATCATGATGCTGAAGATGGCAGCTGTGGGTTTTGATGATGACGATGATCCGTCTTAGACTTGCCGAAAGAATGAATGTGGTTGCTCTCGTTGTAATTCTCATCATCTCGCTCATTAGCTACCATTACTCTATCAGAGTATCATGATCACTGTTCATGGTTTTGACCGTCATCGCCATTTTATGATGACGAGTACTGTTACCACTGTGTTTGGTATTGCTAGCATAGACAGTAACAAACCACGGTGCCGAATTTTGTAGTGTTCTTCCTCACACTGTAAGTCACAGAATTACCCATGCAGCTACTACTACTCCCTCGATTACTGTGATTGTGCTCATTGCTGATACTGTCAATACATCCATCACGGCTATAATCATGATGCTTACAATGATTACTATAATTGTCGAATTTACGTATAGTGTTACCACATCTCCTCATGCTCCTCCTTCTCCTGCTCCTTCTCCTCGCCCTTTCCCTCCTCCTCCTGCTGCTGCGGTGCTGCGGTGCTGCTGTGCTGCTGTGCTGCTTAGCTGCGAGCTGCTGTGCGTGCCACTGTGCCACTGCGCCACTGTGCTACGGTGCTACTGCGCTACTGCTGCTGCTGCTGCTGCTGCTACTCCTACTTCTAAGGCAACGACTACTACTACCACTACTACACCACTCTCATCAGTATGCACTGCCATTGCTATAGTTATTGCTGTTATCACTACTGTCAGCATTGTTCTTGTTGAGTTGAATTTCCTACTTGTCCCTAACTTTTGGGAAATTTGTAAGATTCTATACAGTACATGTAGTACCCCGCAGACAGGTTAAAGCATGCTAAAGCCGACGTTATATAAGCTGCGTCCCCAGCGGAAGGCGTGAGACGAACGTTTCCTCCTTCTGCTAGTGTTTTGTAGGAGGAGTAGGAGGAGGATCCACTCTGAGGACCCGAAGGTCTTTGAGCCTTTGCGACAAACTGCGGGGAAGCACAGCCTACGACAGAATGGATGCCGCTTGCAGGCATCTCTCTAGAGCGACGGCCAGACTACATAACATCATGACAAGTGCCATTGACCAAGAAAGATTCCATCGGCCTTCCTGTGTGAAGCACGGGAGACACAGCCACCGGGGCCCTGCTGCGGCTCCTGGCGAGGGTCGGATTGGAAGCGCTAGGCCCGCTAGGCGTAGGCTGTGACACACATGTCTGGGAAGGCTTCGATAGCGGGCAGGAGAGTTCCAAAGAGTCTGGAGGAGTGACAAGAAGCCTGCGCGGTGCTGGTGGATTCTGCGGAGTCCTGCCGAAGACCACAAGTGCGATAGTCCTGGCGAGGGCCTCCCCACTGAGACCTGTTTCATGACACTCAGACGCCACTACGAGTGAGGTCACTGCGGCCGCGCCGCAATAATTAAGTGTGGCTTTGTCACTCTGTGCGGTCCGGGCACTGCTGGATGTGAACCTCTGTGGTCTGATCATCCAGACGAGATCGGAACCTCGAAAGCACGTATCTCCCACTAATGAAACGCCCACGTGAGCAAAGTGAGCGCCCGAAAGCTGCTGGGCCAGGGACACTTCCATCATCGGCATGCGCCCCGCCTGCAGCCGAAATGCCCGCGCTGTCGCAGATGCTTTACTTTGCTGATCCCCACCCTGTGGTCCCTACAAGTAGCTGCCTCGCTGTCCGTGGGTGGGACTTGGAGGTACTGGCAGCGCTGCCCCTTCGAAGAGAGTTGGCTCTGGTTCGGCAGCGCCAAACCCATGCTCCTGAGTACAAGAGACTGCGGTTGGAGTCTCCGAGTCTCCTTTCTTACATTGTTCTAGAATCGCGTTGCACACCTCTTTTTGCGACAGTGTTGGTCTGGCTGCTGGCTGGTTCGAGGTCCGAGGCTCTCTCGTGCCACACAGGTGGAGAGAGCTGGGTAGGCCTTCCCTGGATCCTGGAGTTCCAGTCCGACCGTCACATTGAAGTCCTCCGCTGAGACGGGTGTCACCGTCAGATATGGCCTGAGCTGCATTTCCAAGCGCTGTAACCGTGTGCGTGGTAGCCGAACGAAGTTCGGTGAACATGGAACCTGTAGACACCTAGCCGCCCGTAATGTAGGTAGAGGGATGTCTTTGCTGCCCGGCGTCCCTATCATGTCCACCGTTGTAACTGCGACGGGGTTCAACTCAGGGCCAGAGCTGTTCGCTGCATCAGTGGACCAACCTGGGTGCCGGCAGCAACTCGACGTGTTGCAGGGGAAGCCGATCATGGGTGTGCAGGGTACTAAATCTGGCATCACACCTCCCATGCTGCCGCAGGTCTGTGCCTCTGGATGTGACTCGAAGCCCTCACAATCCCTCGCGTGCTCGCAAATCCGTAGTGAGACTTGTGTACGACAGTGCACCCAACCGTCTCTAATGACGCTCTGCCAGGGAACAATGAATGTTGTACAACGATCCGGGAGTGACGCCGTCTATGATGACACTGTTCTCGGATTCTGCCACATAGGCAACCTGCAAAACTTACAGGCAGAAACCAAAGAGAATATCAGGCCAAGTTTGCGTCAAGAGGTATTTAGGTTTTCGATCCATCGGGCACATGCCTGATAGAAAGCACCATTGGTCCAGTTCTCAGCGTTGGGGGAGACGTAAAGATCCGTGAAGGCAGTGAACTCCTGACCGAGAACGGCTGACTTCGCCAGACTGCTGCACATTGCTACAGGTGGCACTCCAAGCTGCCTGGTTTGTCGCGGTTTCTTCCGCAGCCATCCTCTCCGTCCAACTGATGAAATCATCTGTCCACTCCAATACCACCTGACAAGGCCAGATGTGCAAGCGACGTGTTTCACGCAACGGGGCCTACCGAGAAAGGGTGCTGCACGCAGGAACACAAGAGACCCTGCGAGAGCCCCAGCATTGCTCTGCTTTCATGTTGCACCTTGGAGGGCACGCAGTCGATGTCCCAATGCCCCCTGAAACGGAGGATGGCAGCTTTTTGCGTGAGGCCCATGTCGATGGCCAGCCAGGCATCGGAAATGGTGTCCATGAGGTATTTGCTTGCCAGACTGCCATCAAATGCAGCATCCTTCACAGCACCTCAGAAACGCCCCCGATTCTGCGCCTTCAAACTCGAGATTCTGCTGGCAAGCGAGTGGCCAGGAATCTCAGGAACTTTTGCCACGTAGCCGGCGGGCGCGACTTTGCGTCCTGCTGAACGCGTGCATCCGGTAATCCGGCAACTACAGGCGCCGAAAAAAGGTAAAGATGAAGATGTCGTCTCAGACGGCACCTGATTGCTCCAGAGGCGAAACCTCGTAGAACTCGGCCTGGCAATTCAAGGCTTCCTTCTGAGCCAGTATGGAGACGCTTGAAGGACCGGGCTAAGATGAGATTTAGTGAGCACAGACACGGCTTTTTGTGGGGTTGTATATGGTTGTATGGTTGCGCTGTGGCAGAGCTGCCTCTGCAATGTTGATCTGGCTCCTGTCCGGGCAGGCATGGCCTTGCGGAATGCCTCAGTCTGTGCAACTGCAGCACCAACCAATATCTCACGACCCATCGTCCACTCCTGGCAAGGTAGTTCCCGCTTTCTGGCTGCGGCGAAGCCACGGATCCGCCAGCCTCGGTGTGCCTCATCATGCATGCGGGGGAGTGTCGGATGATCAGGACAAACTCACCTATGAGCTGCTGTCAACTTGATGTGTCATCATTGAGCCGCTCGTCTGCAATCTAACTCTCTATCTACCTACTGATTATCTGATTACTGTGTACGGTTTCGTTGTGAAGCCGCTTCCGGGCTGCCTCTGCGTCGCCATTGCGTAAGCAGGTGCGTGGTGGATCCGTTGGCTGAGGCGCGGGATCCTGAGCAGTCAGAGAAGCTTTGGTTACACGCTACAACAAGCAGCCAAGATGTGGTCTGATGCTGCGACCGAACTCACCCTCGAATAGATGGGCAGAGAAGAATCGAAAACCCCTCGAGCTTGAAGGTTCAGAAAGCATGAAAATGCCGGAAGGATCTTTCCACAATCTGCTACGTGTAGGCTCCAGAAACCCGAGCTCCCACCATGCAAGTCCCACAAGGATGGAGGGCGGTGCAAACACCCTAGACATCGCTGAACCGTAAACCCCATGCCCTCTCCCGTAGTCTATCCGGGATGACAGCCGGCCGCATACAACATCAGGTCGAACATCTTGTGCGGCTCCCCGTACAGTGACAGATAGACTACAGCACGAATATAGTGCGCATATGTATCATGTAGGCATACATATGTACGTCTATGTGTATAACATATACACATACATACATGTACGAAATTATATACATACATGCACACTCATGTGTATCTCGACTGAACCTTCAAGTTCGCATTGACTCCCAGTTGCGGTTGAGGGGTTGTATGGTGGAGCGCAGGCTGCACACATCGTCAGCACGGGGTAAGACGAGCCCGTGTCCTGCGCCAGCATTGCACCCAAAAGCTCCTGGAGCCTCGCCACTTTCAACTGCCGACATAGTAAGTATAGTATAGTACAGTATAGTACAGTATACTACCATCCACCCTAGCCCAGAAAGAAGCAAAGTCACGCCTGACTGGGAAATACCATCAAAGTGGAAACCACGAACTTCGGCACGTCTCAAAGGTCCTGACCCCAAAGCCCGAGCCCAAAAGGAACCTTGCCTGCATGTGACCCGTGATCTTGATCCGGGAGTCCAAATTGCAGTTCGCATCCTTATCGGCAGTTGGCTGATCATGTGCCTTTCTCCGTCTCGCTCGTGCTGAGTCCTACATGTTGGGCCTGCAGGATATGTCTCAAAAACCGTTGGCTCGGGCACGCTGACGGCAGCATGGAACGATTCAGAGTATGAAGGGCCACTTGCTTCGCTCAGCAGAACTGGCTTCTAGCACAGCAACGCTTTCGTCAGACTTCGGCCAACCCCATCGCGCGCCACCTGGAAAAGGTGCTTTGTGAAAGGGAGGTGGATCGGTCATCCCATCTAGTTGCGCCGAGCAGCGCAGTCATGAAGCCTTGCATGCAGAAGGGAAGCACTCCATGGACTCACAAGGGAACATCTCGCTTGCTTTCTACTTGCCCTTGAAGCCCTGAGCCCCGCAACCTGACTACAAGTAGAACCGAGCCTGCCTCGAAGGCCTCGCATTGCCACTATGAACACTACTGCTGCTGTAACAATTTGTAATTAGTATGCTTGCCCTTAGTAGCAATATCATTGTGAGTATGACCATGTTGATTTTCATTATCATTCTTTCATGTTTATCATCATCGCCATTATGGCTGTTACAAGTATTGCTACTGTTAGATTATTGTTGCTTTGAATTTGCAGAGTGTACAGACTATTGCTGTAATTGTTGTTATTGTTGCTTCTGTTATCATTGTCAGTACTGTTATTAGTACTAATGTTTCATGTTCATCGTCATCATTAGAACCACTACTTTCATCGATATCATTTTTAACTTTATGAATGTTAGAAGTTGATTTTATTATTGCTGTTGGTGGCGATATTACTACTGTAATGACTGCTGATCTAGTTGCTATCAACTAGAATTATTAATGGTAATGCTGCTGTTACTGCTGTATTGCTGCTGCTGCTGCTGTTCGTGTAAAAGTTGCTATTGTCGCTACTACTAGTATTTCGCTTGTCATTACCGTTGACGTTGTTGATGCTATTACTAAGTTTACTATTAGTATGATTTTCCCCTTTCTCTCTGTGCCCAGAAGCGTCAACGTTGGAGGCACCCGGTCCGGCAGGATGATGTGACCAGTCGGGGACGCCTCCAACCCCCCTCCTGAAGCGGCCTCTGCAGGGTCTTGTTAATGTAAGAACGGATCCACTTGGCACGACAAGTTGCTGAAAGACTGTCAGGAACTGACACTTCAATCCTTTGACACCGCAATGGCTTAGGATTTAGGGAGGAGCTCAGACTTTGCCCTACGCGAGCGCGAGCGCAGCTTCCGTTGCCCGCAGTTCCACTGAAGTCTTCGCCCTGCAAAGGCCCTCTGCCCCTTGTGGCCCGCTTCTTCCGCGTCTCAGCGCTCTTCTGCTGAAGCCTTGTTTCTGAAGCCTTCCACGCTTGCGCGTGCGGATTTCTCGAACCCTAAAGCCGCTCGCGCGACTGCTGCTTGCACGCCAAGTGTTTGTGCCGCCCATCTGTCTGGGTCTTGGAGGGTGTTGACCTCTCCTCTCATGGTGGTGCCCGTGGATGAACCCCAACCCACCGCGCTTTCCGGCCTGACTCCGGAAGTTGAGCTCACCCGTGCAGAAGCAGGGGTCTACGCAGGGGCAGCCGAAACGAATGGCCACATGCACGATGACGGTGTACTCCTGTGCAGGGGGTGTGTGACAGTGCTAGACGAGCACTGCACAGGATCGGAAGGTGCCAAAGGCAAGACATCTCGTGAAGCCCCGCAGCTCCGCAGCTGGCACGAGGTCGCAGGGCCCAATCGCCTGTCAGACGCCAAATCCGTTCGCAATCCCGGACGTTCGCATAAAGGGAGCTTGGCAAGCGTGCCTTGGACTGAACGGCCTCGTCTTGCTGGATGTTCGCCTCCAGGCACATGGCACCTCGCTGCAGCGGGACACAGGGCTCCAACCTCGAACAAATACTGCCTCCGGCTATATCCCAACACTTGAAGCCCTCATCGAACCTGATTATGTAGTTATGCTGACTTCTGCTGTAATCAGATCAAGCTGCTCGCAGTGAGAGGCCCGAAATTTAGCTGCCGGTAGTTGAACGAGCTCTGGGCGAGCGATTCCATGCCTCCGGAGAATCAGGAATAGATGACTCTGAAGCAGGAGGACAAGTAGCTCCGAACCTGGCCTTTGGGAACGACAGCCACGTCTACGCGAGCCCCGGTGCCAGCAATCCGTGTACTCACCTCAGACGGCATGAGCGCTTCCAAGTCTGGAGCCTCAGCACGGCACCCATGCAGAAATATCGTGCCAAGTCACGTCGAGGTATAGCATGCCGTTCTGGTAGCTCGGCGAAATAATTGGCTCCTGGCTAGTCATTAGTCTTCACTCGCGCGCTTCGTGTCTTGATGTCCTGTTTACGATATGTGTGGTTACTAATTATTCATGCTGCCATGCTCTAAACAAGGTCGGACGTTCGCACTGCGGCTTGTGAGCGGACATGAGCGGACCAAATCTGACTGCGGCTGGGCTCGGGATATGGAGATTGCTGACTACTCGGTACTCGGCTCACTAGCAGCATCATCTGACGGCGGCCGCGCTCCTCCAGCAACACCATGGAAGAGTCCAAGATGCCGATTTGCCGCGACTGCTCGGCCTCGGGGCAAGAATCAGGGACAGGGGACAGTACCTGTCTAAATCCGCTTGCAGAGCACACTGCTTCGAATTCGACACACTCAAGTCATCCCACACGACTGCTTCACACAGTCATGCAGTTTCACTACGCTCAACCTTTCCGGTTAAGCTTCTTCCCCGTGGGCATTCTTGCAGAAGACCAGAAAGGTGTTGACGTCCTCAGGTCATTTTCTGCACCGGACTGAGGACTGACGCCGCACACATGTACCCGTGCAAACAAAATCAAACGCATATGCATGCCTCTAATTATGTAGGTATGTTATGTACACATAGAGAGACGCCGAGCGAAGGGAGAGAGAAAGAGAGAGATGGCGCCACCCCCAGCTGCTTCCTTCCTTCTGCGCTGGAATAGTGCAACATCGACATTCGATGCACGTGGAAATCAACGAAGTGTTACATGATGGTTTGCACACTATCCAACGGACCAGCACTCAGAAGTAGGTTGTTGTGATACAACCTCTGCACATGAGGTCTTACAAGGCCTTTGGCACAGGGGTTGGGCTGCTACAACAAGGACGCGGCAGGTATTCAAAAGCCGCCACCTCAAACCCCGAACATCAATGTGCTCAAGCTGTGTTGCGCCGCTCGGCTGCATGAGCACGGGTCACGGAGGAGGTCGAAAGATGGATAGAACGGATAGTACTGGTACTTGTTTCTTCCAAAGCATGATGTGCTTGCGGGACTCTGGCAAAAGCTGTGTGTTCACCTGAACCGCATACTGATACGCACCAGTCACCTTGGCTCAAAGCAGCGGCGATGAAGAAAACCTACAGGATTCTGCACTCGCTGACCTGCTCGTAAGGCCCAGGCAGGAATGATAGCAAATGGCTCCGTCCCCTCGGGCCATCTGCGGCTGAAAAATCCTGGTCCCAGTTGGAGGACATCGACACTTTGCAATACAGAGCACTGAGCGATTGCTTCGCAGCGCACGTCAGAATCAGCCTAATGCTGCAATTACCAGACGCTTGCTCAATGTCTGAGTTCAGCAAACATCGACTGCGAGGTCGCGAAGTGTTTATCTCCGGGGTCATGCTACAGTCCTATGTCGCGTTTTGCGTCCCTGCCCCTGTTTATCTCGGGTCCGTAGTACACGTGGTAGTGCGTGAAGTTCACTTCTGATGCGGCCGAAGTGATTGTCAATGTGCCGAAAACCTTCGCGTGACAAGACAGACTGATGAAAGTGGAAGCTGTCTGAATCCATCTGAATCACCTATCTGTGCTCACGTCAACGGCGTGCCTTCTGCATGGTCACTGGCTAGCTTCGAGACACGATCATCTGAGCTTGCTCGTCAACTACATGCCACACCAGCCGTAGACGTTCCAAGAAGCCCGGCCCACCAAGCTCTCCGTGTCTACGAATTCTAGGGCTCTGGGACGCAGCAGCGGCACCTGAGACGTCCGGAGATCGCCAAACAATCCAGCCCTGCATGCACCTGTTGAACATGGATACGCCATCATTCCCATGATCAGCCACCTCCCCTCGACTTGGAATCATGAAACCCTCGACAGCAAACTTGCTGAGAACCTGCGAGACGACGTCCGGAAACCGGCCCACGAAGGGCAGGTTGACTCGCACACCTCACACACAACTCTCTGGCCTCGTCTCCAATCGTAGCTACCACCACAACAACAACAAGAAAACAACAATAACAATTAATCATGACGTTACGATTACAATTCGAACTACGACTACTACTAGTACTACTACTTATTCTTCTTCTACGTCTAGTTCTTCTTGTACCACTACTGCTGCTACTGCTGATGCTACTGCTGCCGCTGCTACTTGCTGCTGCTACTTGCCACTGGCGCTGCCACTGCCGGTGCGACTGCTGTTGCTGCTTCTGCCCCTGCTGCACTGCAAGCCATACTACTCATACTACTACTCCTTCTACTACTACTACTACTACTACTACTACTACTACTACTACTACTACTACTCCTCCTGCTGCTACTACTACTATGACTACTACTACTCCTACTGCTACTGCTACTGCTGCTACTACTACTATTACTACTACTACTCCTACTGCTACTGCTACTGCTGCTACTCCTACTCCTACTCCTGCTCCTACTCCTACTGCTACTCCAACTCCGACTGCGACTCCTGCTGCCACTGCTACTGCGACTGCGTTTGCGACGGCGACTGCTACTGCTACTGCTGCTATTGCTACTTATGGCTATGTGAACAAAATGAAAAACAAACCAATAGTACTCGGTGATAAGAAGAAGAAGGAACTGACCCTGATCTTGATGATAACAATTATCAAACCTTTCATACTAACAGTTAACAGAACGCAACTAGCACCTCAATCTCTTCGGTTCAAATCCCCATTTTTCGCAGGCTCAAGTCCAGAAGTTCCGTTGATGACTACACGTCTGCCTGCCACAAAAACAAAGCATGTGTCGCAAATGCAACTAATACACACTTTAGCTGCAACGAAGGTCTGTCTTGAGTACATCATGGGTTTGGTGCTTGCTTGTGTTACTTTGGAGCATGGCCTAGATGACAATGCGGAACAAATCAATGGAATTGATTTGCGGTGTTGATTATTGCTATCTGTCAAACCCGCATCTTGCGGCCCCTCAGACCTCCGCCGTAGGGTGGTTCTGCCGCATCAAGGTAGAGCACTAGCCTGGCCAGGAAGAAACGAAAGTAGTGTACAACCTGGTGCCCACAACATATAAGAATACGCTGTGTGCGACTATATAGGCATACCTTTGAGCCACGAATGGCTTGACAGCCAAATCATAGACTATCCTAGAACCTCGTCATGTGCTCCATCCCAAGGAGCAGCTGCTTTTCCATCTGCTGGAGCTGGAACGTCGTTAAGCTCTAACTTTGTCGAGGAACACGTAGTCAATGCCAGGCTCGAAGGGGCACTGCACCAGGAATGGGTCCGAACGGAAGTCCTGCAAACGATTTGTGAAGCACTTCACGCACCAGAAGGGATAATGACAAGACGCCTGCAGAATGTATCCGCTGTATCCAGGCGAGAGAAGCTGCTTGCGGTTCATCCCAGTGCTCGCAAGAAGTTTTGGGGCAATCGAGGTGTCAGCGGGTGCCTCGAAGGTGCTTCGGCCTTGAGCTCTCTGCGGGTTTTCGCAGATGACGTCTGTAGAGTACCTCAGCACGGCCATCGCAGAAGACCCCGGAAGCAGCTGCAAGGCCCTGACATGCAGATGTCGCAGTAACTCATAGTTTCGGAGAGTGCAGCATGCAACTAGCGGTGCAGCCGAACCACGCTCCCCCATGGATGTCTTCGATCCTTCATTGCGGATAGCAACGGGCAAGCATGGGCTGCTGCCGCGCACGACAATGCTGACAAGTTCGTGGCTGGATGCGAATGCCGGGTGCACGTTTGGAAATGCAACGATGCTGTGAAGCAGGCAGTGCGCCCGTGGAAAACTGGAAAGCCGACTGCTCATCGACGACTTGTGCTGCCACGATTCGTGAGAGCAGCAGCCACGGATCTGTTGACCACGAAAGCCCAGAATTGTCCCTCGGGATACATTGCTTCTGCATCCACCTCGGTCCAGCAAAATGTCGATACCCTCATGCATCTGTAGATAGACAGGTCCGACAGCTTTACCAAGCAAAGCCAGATTGACATACAATGCGCGAACGAAGCTGCAACCGCTCTCAGGGTGCCACTCGGACAGCGGCGGTGCTGGAATCACCAATGACGGGTTGCACAGTGAAGCCTTGACTTGGGCAGTCTTTATCAAAGAGTTTGGTCCTCTTTGTCTGGTATTTGTCTGTTACAGCGAATGAACGACCCTTGCCCCTAGGCACTGCAGCAGCAGAGTTCTCAAGGCCGTTCCGAGACCCCAGCCCAAAACTGTTTGCTGCGCCACCATCGTTGTCTCATGCATTCTAAAAGGATCTCCGAACACGCCTCTCCTGAAGGCCCTTCCTGCTGCCGGGCAAAGTGACCGTTACTTTTGTCATAGAAGCGGAGAGATGCCTTGCCCCCCTCACCTGCCAGCCGAGGCGGAACGGAGCTGTATACATGACTATGTCCCCATATCCCCAGCCTTGCACATTTGCAGCAGCAGCCAGGATGTGAGTGACCTGCGCCAGGCCGACTGAGAGCATCAGCTCGAATGCGCCACGAACGAGGCTCACGAGGGAAGAGAGCCTCCGGCTCGATCTTCACAGCCATGTCTGGCAACGGGTCGTTGCTCACCACTCCGCCGACGCAGAGAATCTCCACCTACCCACGTGGAATTGCCACATGCCAGACTCAAACGGGTTTGCAAACAAATCTGCAGGCTGTCTCAAGTCTCAACATCCACGCATCTCTCCACGCACTTCTGCGACCATTGCCTCTGCGTACAGCATCCAACGGTTCTGAAAGCGGAACCTCAGACGGAAAGCTCGATTGTGCATTAACAAAGATTGTGTCATCAGCATCTGGCCGCAGAGCGACTCTCCCACTCTGCTCTTCAAGCCGAAGTGTCTGGCAAAAGGAAGAGCTTCAACACATCTTCGGAATGCAGCCCCTTACGTGGCCGCCCAAGCAGCTCCAAGATGTCAACCTCCGAAGAGAGCTTCCTGCAAGTGCGGAGAGTGGCAACATGGCCTCCTTGTACCAACCACAACAGATAAGTGTGGAAGAAACTGCATAGTTTCTATTCCGAATCTCCGACAACTTTCTGCACTTGTCTGCTGATGCTCGGGAGGACTGCTCGGGTTTGATGAAGCCTCGATGTCCTCAGTAGAGTTTGGCAACTTCTTTTTCATGTCACTCCATATCGGCCGACCGAAGCCAGCAGCGACAATGCAACCGAGCGCAGTGTAGTTGAAGGGACAAATAGCTTCTGTGTCGGGCTTTTGCAAGACCGACGGAGCGATAGCAACAAAGCTCCAGAAGCTTTTCGATGGGTATATCTCTGGCATGGAGTATGCTCACCACGGGCGAGTGGTGGTTCAGCAATGCCCCGAATCCAATAGCTGCCGCAAGCATGTCTGCCCTCTCGAACGTGCAACTCTTGGCACCCGCGCGTATCCTACGGGAATGAGTTGTAGAGGAGATCCCATGAAAGCGTCGGAATGCGAGGCAAGACCCAGTCACACTAAGTCTAGATTCCCCTCTGAGGGCCGCCAAGTTGCGCCGAAACAAGAGCCGTCCCATCCTTGAGGAAAGAGCCTCGGAAAATCAGAAGTCGATCCACTGCAGGGTTTCAAGACGAGCAGGATGTCGGGATGCTTTCAGCTACAGCGGGAGCCATGCCGTGGTGGAGCCTGGAGTGAGCAGAGTCTTGAGATTTGAACTTAAATTGGAATCATGAACCTTGAGAAGGGATTCCAAAATGGACGGGTGGAGCGATGAGAGATGTCCGCTGTTATGAGACATTTGGGGCACTTCATGATTCAGGAATGGCTTTCTGCTGGTCAAGCATCCCCGAAGCGCGGCTTGAGACACATCCAGCTTGTCAGCGCAGTAATACCTTTGCGGCGCGAGCACGGGGCTCCAAAGGATTTGGCTTCAGTCTTATATCGGCATGCAAATCTAGGACCTGAGACTTCCCTTCCGGTGTGTGCAAGATACAAAATACACCGCGTTTACTGGGCAAGTCGAAGATCGTCTGCAAGAACCTGTTTACTACCCGAATTATTGCCTTCACCAGGTGCCAAGGCGTGCAAGCATCAGGCAGATCCTGCAGTCTAGACAAAAGACATATTGTTCGGATCTCCATCGACTTGAGGCCAACAGTGCTCCACCACATTGTAGTCATCAATCCTTGGATCCGAGGCGACTGCCGGAAAGTCCGGTACCCAGAGCTTCTCTCTCTAGGGTCGACATTCTGAAGCACCGAACCGGCAGCCTGATCAACGACCCCAAAGCTTCAGGACAGAGGGCGCGATGTACTCCACGACTTCTTCTGGGCCGCTGAAGTCTGTCATGGCGACGCCGAAAGTTAGGAAACACCTGTCGGGCGGAACACGGCAGCGGGACTCCTCAAGCTCTAAGGTTTCCCACGCTGTGAGAGAACTTAGGGCTTTGTAGCTTGCATTAGGGCATTTGGGAGCTTCAGAGCTTCCGCGGAAGCGGGTGGGCCCGCCTTGCATCCGCATTCGTCGGGAGACCCGACAGCTCCACCGAAGCTGAACAGCCGGGTTGGCTGCATTGCATGATCCTCGATGCAACAGCTCAAGTCTAGGGTCTGTAGGGACGGTCGCGCACAAGGTCTATGGTCAAAATTTGACACCGCGGGTAGTGCGGGGGAGAACTTGATAAGGCTTGTAACGATTGGAAACTATGTAAACTACCGTGGCGCGCGACTACGGTTCAGCTGCACTGAGTTGTGCCGGAACGCCTTCCCAGCTCGAGAGCCGTTGAAGCGTACGGCAGTTGATTCGTCATGTTCGATAGGGTTTATTGCAGTTTAAGGTAGAATTTTCAGACTGGTCACGGAAAGCCACATATGCTGAGACAGGCACCCACTTGTTTTGATCTCTGCCCCGGGACGGACAACCTGGACATTCTGCAAGTTGATCTGGTAGTCCCGGTGATACCGTGTCCTTCACTGGTCTTAAGTCTTCACTCGGCTTGCAGGCAGGCATGTTTTTGTGTGAAGGCACACTTTGCGGCTCCAGTCTGCGACAGTGAGAAGACAGGGATCGGCTCTTACCTGCTCTGCTGGGCCTGCCTGGTTCCCAGGTGTAGTGCCATGAGCCTCGCAAGCCGAATGAGCCAAGGGCAGAACCCAGAAACGGTCGCGCTCCAAGTCCAAGTTGCTCTTCATCGTTCAGGGCCCGATCCCACATCCATGCCTTCGCGGGCTGAGAAAGGCCATGCGACTCAAAGCGTCAGGTCAGAATGACACATAAATCAAAATGGGGATGCAAGTTTGAAGCCTTTCTACCTGCCAACCTACGGATATGAACTACAGTATCGCCGTCGCAGCCGGGCCTGTGATATGTACGTATCGGGCATGCTTCCGTCCACCGCCATGCCAGCCTTGGATTGTGCAAACAGTCTGAGCAGCGCGGAAACCCAGCACACTACAACTCCCTTTCGCAATCCAGTTGTTGCTGTTCTGTCACCCAGAAACCGTGTCATGCTGCGCTGTCGCACCTGATTCCCTGCCCCAGCCCAGATGGCCGGCCAACTGACTCCAACTTTCCCCGAAGTGTGCGTGTCAGTGTCAGTCTGCAGTTCTCAGCCAGCGAACAGCAAAAACACGAGGGAATCGATCGAAGCAGAACAGTGCTGTTCGCAACCTGACCAGCAAGCAACTACAAGTAGCGTATTTAGAGCCAGGCGCCGTGCCACCCACACCTTGAAGGACAGAGCCTGCACAAGTCCTGCGAAATGGCCATGCAGTAATATGCAGTAACGTGCAGTTTTGCAGGCATGCATTGTGCCAAGTTTAAGCACGTGCTCCACGTGATGTTCTTAGCTTCTTGGCTACTAGCACTCAAGATTAATTTAAAAACCACTTCAAAGCTCTGGTCCGACGCGTGAAATCGGCAGACCCCGCGTCCTCGGTGCTTCGCCCACCACATGGATGCTGCCTGACCTTGGGAGCCTCCGCCCGGGAAGAGCCACCTGACCAAGGCACCGCGTGGTCGCTTTCAAACCATATCCCGACAGCGAGACTGGGAGCTCCGACGGCACCCGTTTTGCCGAAATCCGCAACGAGCAGAGCAAGTCGGGACTTAACCACATTAATCATGGCCGTGGTACTCGTGCACATGCGATGGTGGCGATCCCATTCAGGAGCAAGCCGTCTTTCGGGTACATGTCCTTGACTGCAGCCACTGAAGGACCGAAAGCAGCGGTTCTTCCTGAACTACCCGCGAGTGTTGCTGCCCGAGCTGCCACAAAGTCGGAGATTTTCATGTCTATGCGCACAGCGCGGTCGGACTGGTGGCTCAGGATCCAGGCATCCAGGTTCCTCAAACAGTCTTGGGCATCTTCGCAGACACCCTACTTGCAGCAACAGGTCAGCAACCAAAAACTTGGATGTGGAGGACGCTTGAATGACTGCCGGTAGATGCTGTGCCGGCAGCTTTCAAAGCAGCTGCAAAAAAGCGGCTTGCTACCGACTTAGTTGGCTGTGCATGACCGGCTTCTATACCCATTTAGCGGCGTCCTTGCTGGACGTCCCAATATCCCTCATAGAGGCATGGACATCAAAGCCGTGACATGCATTAAGCCGGGCGTCTCTTTGTGAACGCACTTATACAGTCGATCAAGTTGGTTTGATCCATCAGGGTGGCAGTACTCTCTGACTGTACCTTGGCTTGCGAGGCGCAGGAATACGATCAGCTGCACGAAATCATCTCCAGAGCCTAGGCCGAGAGAATGTCAATTGGACAAGGCACGGCTGACCTCTGGCGCTCCGCCACGAACTGTGATGTACTCCTGGGGCAAGAAGCTGTGCTTCCCGAACCCTGAAGCAATACTACCCATGCTCAAAGCTTCTTCTTGCAGCTCGTCGGGAATCTTGGTTGCGGTTCGGATGTGTAGAAGCCAAGCATCCACCACCTCCGGGTTCACGTGATGTTGGTCGTTTGTGTAGTCCTTAGGGCTGCAGAGAAGACCCGACAAAGAGTCCGTGGAATCGCCGTTGGGCTGCCTGTGGCCTATGGCTCTCTTCGCTGCCGAGCATCTGTCACATACACGTCCACTTCCAGGGCGCATGTTCGCGCTGGATCACGCGGGATGTCCCGAAAGATCCTGGAATCATCCGACGAGAGTGTCACGTTCATAGATGCAAAAGAGAGTCAGAGAGACAGAGAGAGAGAGGGAGACAGAAAGAGACAGAGAGAGAGAGACAGAAAGTGAGAGACAGTGAGAGAGAGAGAGAGAGAAAGCGAACAAGAGCGCTCCAAGCCGAGGGACAAACTGGTGGCACAGCCTGGCGTTGCGCAGCCAAAGCTTTGTGTGTAGCCTCAGACGAAGTTCGTCAAGTAAACTGGGCTGATGCTGCACCAGTGCACACAGAAACTCGGAAGCTATTTCCGAGCGAGGCAATACACAAAAATCAGTGCCAAAAGCAACCATTGCAGGAGAGGCACGGATCACTTCCGGACCCAGGGCTTCAGAGGAGTAAAAGGTAGTCGTACCACGACCTGCCGTTGAAAGTGATCGGCTCTTTTGGGAGACTTGCAGACATCGGAGCTCTTTGGTCCGGCTTCGTGCCCGTGCCTTCCATATCGCCTCGTCCCACGGCGACCAGCAGCAGCCACTCCGATCCGTGTCGAGGCACGCTCATGTCCGCGCCGCTATCCCAGGCGGCCTCCATAGAAATGTCCCACACACACACACACACACACACACACACACACACACACACACGCGGAAGCAGACACAAGTCCAGCCAGGCCTCGCTTTCGCAGGCTCGCATCCCGATCGCCCACATGTTCTTACGACTCAACGGCGTGCCCAGCTCATCCTCAACTTCTTCTGTCATATTGATGGCCTTAGATGCCCCTCTGCCGAAGAGTCTCTCAGCAAAACGGTGTGCATTTCTAAGAGCACAATATGCGCGAACCAACTCAGTCGAGGGGGATGATCCTGTCTCGCAGCCGAGGGGCACAGCTGCAATCACACTCTTCGTACTCCATCTCTGTCTCGTTGACACCGCGAGTCGCCGTTGTGGTTGTGGTTGTCATCCTGGGCAACTGCATTGCAATTCGTCAAGTAGAGGCGCAGGGACTGCAGATTACCAGGAGCAATGCAAAGTAGCCTCTCGTCGCTCCTCCCCCAAAATGCAGACCAAGCTCAGTGGCGAAGTCGGAGCCATGCAACACCGAACCAGGTCGGTGCCATTGCCTGTCACCGACACAGCGACAACAGGACCGAGACCGAAGCTTGGAGGATGTTGGAAGGCGGTCCTGACCTGACACTTTTCTCGGAGACTTGTTCAAGCCGTGGCGCACAGGAAGTCCCCAGTGCAAAAGGGGGGTCGTCCATCCAGCTCGAGGCGCTGCGACAACTCAGCAGTCTCAAGTCTCAAGATGCTCAAAGGAACAACAAAAACCCTTCGCTTCGGAGCAACAGGTGCGCGACTGTGGCTCGGTCGACTTTGTATCGCCATCCCGTATCCATGTAGCAAACATTCAGAGGGCGACGAGCGCACGTGTGACCACATATCCTTCCGTATTCTCCTTTAGCTGACATAACTTGCAAAAGAAGTAAGGAAAGTCGCGAGTTTACACCACGTGAACCCTGCAACATTCTGGACATGCGCGAAGATGCCACTCACTGCAATGGACGCGCAACCTGCAGTCGCCAACAAACCTGCCCCTGAATCTGAAGACCAGGGCACCTGAAGACAAGGCTCGGAATCTCCTGGCGAGCAGGATACGACGGATACGAGGCCCCTCGCAAGTGCCCGCCTCTGATCCCTGACTTCGCGCAAACTTACGGTGACCTTACAGTAGTTCTTAGTATGGTCATCGTCACTGAAACCTGCGACTGTTGAATAAAGTGCTCTGATTCCTACGGTACATAGTGTTGAGTTGGTATCCGCCACAACCGGGGCGAGGCCTGAGACGCCCATGGCATCAAAGATTCGCACCTCCCGGGGCTTCCGCCGAGGGGGGAAAGGTCGGAGAACGCAAACAAGGCGGACGAGTTTAGAAGACATAACCAGGTCGGGGACATGCTTTGTCACGCAGGCGTTGGGACACCAAGAAGAACAACCTTGCCCTAAAGCCTCCTTACTCAAAATAGCACAATTGCCTTCAGGAGTCAGGACTGATTGCACCGTGGAGATGAGAAGAACTACACCCTGGCCGACCCCTGATGTGCGGCCTGCCCGGCATCTGAAGCATTGGCTGCCTGCACCAGGGACATGGAACCGCCGTCAATCTAGAAAAAGAATAAAAACAGAGAAATTGAGATATTTGCATATTTAAAATCATTCTACGTGTAGCATCAAGAAGTCGAGGGCCCTGTCCCTCCCAGCCTCGAAGTATGGAACTTTGATCCAGGCGGCCATGGTGTACTCGGAACCCACAAGCCTGCTCAGGATGTCCGCCGGGACTATGGGGAATTCACGGTGCCCAACAACTCCGGACTGCGAATGCGTTTGATCCAGCGCGCTTCTTCGGGTTGAGCTCGAAGTGCCCCTCACCATTGAGAAGCCAGGCAGGTGCTTCCATTGAGGTCCACTCCACGCTGCCTGGCACAGCAATCCAAGCGGCAGATGTCACTCCCAACGCAGCAACGCAGCACGATTTGCAAACATTACAGATTTCACAGCCTGCAGTTCTGTCTGAGGCCCTCTGAGCCAAAAGAAACGGCCTTGTTCTGTGGACCCGCTTGTTAAGTTCTGCGCGGCATCGAAGCTCAGGACAGCGGAGCTCGTGGGCACTTCCTGCGACAGCACATGTCAGTGGCGACAGCCACCAAGCACTAGCGGACACCACCAAAAAGCAGCGCGCAAAGGGCCACCCTGCTCACCACTCATGTTTGCAGAATGATGTGTTGCAGTCTCTCCATGCGATGGCCGTACCAAACTAGACCTGGACAACAGGGTCAGGCTGCAAACGGGTTCCAGAAAGCCGAGGGGCCGGGTGCAGCTCCCACTCACAGTAGCCAGAGCTGCGCACCTCCTGCGGATCACATGGCTTTGGTCAACCAGGATTCTGCAACAAGACTTCAGGAAGCAGAGCTCCTTTCCGTCGATGGTGAAGTCCATCCACATGGCATCACAAAACTTGCCAATATGAGGCCTCAGCCGTTGCATAGCAGTCGTAGCCGTAGCTTACGTTGGCCAAGTCAGGCTTGGTCGATCCCTCGTGCTCTGTGACTGAACCTCGAAACCAGCTTCTGGTCCTTGCTCTTTTATCACCATGCTACAAATAGCTTCGAAAAGACCCGGGAGGCTCGTATGCGGAGAATGACAAGTGGCTTGTGGACGCTGGGGTCCGTCACAGGAACTTCTTCCCCGTCTTCGCCCACTTTCGTTGTCTCAGTTGGCACCTGCACCCAAGCCCAGCTCCCGACCCGTCGTGCAGTGTCGGAGCTTGGGGCTTGAGAGGCTTGGAATAAGAGTTCAGGTTTTCGTCGAGGGAGAGATGCCGGGTGAGCTTCACATGGCAGCTCCCTGCCTGGCAAAGGCAGTCAGCAGAGGCGCTGCTCTTGAGGCGGGACTCCACGGTGGAGTTGAAGATGCGATCCTGGAGAAGATGTGTGTAATTAGTGGGGCTACATTTCTTCGTTTGACACGTGGCAATGATGGAATGAATTCTACGAACACCATTGCAAGGGCTCCTGAATTGACCAGAGGCAGTCCGGATCCTGGCCGTGGCCGCATGGAGAGGCAAACTTGCAGATGATTAGTTCAGAGTTTTCTTCGCAAATGGCTGATTTCTGAGGGATCGTGCCTTCTTTTCCTTGATGAAGGCCAACCAGGGCTGCCACATTGGATCATCTGGGACAGTTGACAGTAGGAGCTTGTGAGTGTAGAGCACATGCTCTGCAGCCGTGCCACTTAGGACATCCAGACTGGTCCTGGTCGGATTGGCTGGGCTCAGCGCCTGCAGCAGAACAAGCTTTCAAACATGTCGGCCTCTCTCCTGTGCAGGTAGCAGATGAACAGAGATGCACAGAAGATGATGTGTACCAGTGTACCACGACATATGGACTACAAGCCGCGTTTGAGCTGCGGGTGGGCCTGCGAATCGGCGAATGCATTCCAAGCTTCCTGTCAGTCTCAACTGTGCAGGCTCGTGGCACCCCTAGTCATTTACTTACAAGCACTGCCTAGAGTGACAGCTATGTGGAAGCTGCAATGTCCCAAGATGTGTATGTGGCATTGTGGCATGGTCTCGGAAGAGGGGAAAGAGGGCCTCGGCACCCGCAGCCAGTAGCAGCGGGTGGACCTCCGGAGGCCAAAGACCTCCCGAAGGGGAGCTCTCCGGAAGAATGGACTCAGAGATGGGCTTAGGGCTCAGGGGCTGTGCCTTTTCTCTCCCTTTTTTAGCTTTTGTCAACAGCCTGGCCGCTCGCGGCCCTAGCTGCCCTAGCTCTTTGAGTCTCGACGGCCGTCGCGGATCACACGCCGCTGCAGCCTGGCGGTGAGACCTGAATCCTCTGGTAAGGTCCAACTTCCGGAGAACAAGCCCTCTGCTTCCAAGACCTTCAGCAGCAGAGGCAAGCGCTCCGCATCCAGCAACTCTTCAGCAGATCGCCTTCGTCGCCTAAGCTCCTGGTTGCAGGTCTCCAGGAGCTCGCGGCGGGCCACGCCATTGCTCTCTGCTTGCTGCGCAAGCAAGGACCAAGCCAAGGGATGCTCTTCGCTGAGCCTCTCCAATCCCGCCAGCTGCTGCACCAAAGTTGCCGTCTCAGACTTCGAGAGCTCGCCGGAGCCTGTGACCATGTCCAAGAGTGCCCTTAGCAACATGCACTGCTGCTCGACCACCTGGCGCTTCTTCTGCTCCGCCTCCGCATCCTCCAGCTCCGCACGACGCCGCTCCGCCGAGACCGCCGCTCGCAAGCCAAGCATCTCCTCGCTGGCCTTCACGGCTGCGCTCTCGCGAGGTAGGCTTGCGAGGAGCTGGGAAGGAGTGAAGCCGAGCGAGGCTCCCTCCTGCACAGGAAGATGCCGCACACTCAAGAACAGCAAGCGAAGAGCAAAACTGGTACCAAGATGGCTTCCAATTGAGCCCGGAATACTAAACAAAAAGAGAGATAGAGAGAGAGAGAGAGAGTGACGGGTCCTTCTCACTGCGCTTGGTACCCTTGCGGCCTTTGCCGTCCTTGCCGTTGCCATGATTGCCATCCTTTCCATTGCCCTTGCGAGGCTCCAGGCTCTCCAGCTCGTTGACCACATTGTCGGCAAGCTTGGTCCAGTTCGCCTCTTCGGCCTTTGCTTGGCTCAGCCGAGCATCAAGACTATGGCATTCTCGCTCCAAATCCTCAATGGCCTCGTGCTCTGCAGCGAGCAGAGCCTCTGCCTCGGCTACCTGCGCAGCTGCGGAATCGCGATCCTCCGTGGAGTCCACGAGTTCCTTGTTCCAGGCTGCTTGTGCCTTGATCAACTCGCGGAGCTCGTCCCTCAGCTCATCCTCGGAAACCTTGGCCTCCTTTGACTCCTTTGCCTTCGCCTTGGACATCGTCACGCCTCATGTCTGGAGCATGCCATCCACGTTGTCAATGGCAAGAACTGCTCTGCTCTCATTCAAGTTTTATGGGGCCCTAGGATGCTGTTTTTGGAATCACGCCTGTGGCTGCGTCACGCGTCTTGCATCTACACGGCAGCTTCACCACAAATGCTTCAGCTGGCTGGCTCGACTGTTCCGTTTCAGGCGATTTGCAAGGGTGCCCTGAACGATGCTTCTTGGGCCCTCTCTCTCTCACTCGCATAGGCTGGATATCGTGCTGAGAGCCAGTGCTTCACGGACAGTAGTGGGACGGTCACTGCATCCCAAGAGCACAGCATCATGCGACAGCATGCCATGTCAACAGACCAACACCGCAAGCCTGGTTTTTGAAGACCCTGCGGCTCCTCAACGTCTTTTGAGGCCCCGACCTGGATATTCTTCAGTTCCATAGGTTCGATCCAGGAGGATGATGCCATCAAAGTTGGTCTCCGCGATGAGGACGCCCACACCTCAAAGTGCCAAAGTAAAACGTAGTGCCTTGTAACAACACCACAAAGTGTGCTCGTACTAGTGGATGCCTCCTTTTCGTGGCATGCAGTCCTAGCAAAGATCACCATTCAGTCACTGCTGTGCGAGGGAGGAAGAGACCGTATTGAAACTTATGATGGCTTATGTCAGCTGCTTGCTGCAAGGACTCATGGACCGAAGTCGTCGCAGACCTTGCCACAGACATTCGTGCAACTCGGCCTAATTCATGTCCGCGTGCTGAACTCTTTCCGTTGCTATGCCGGCAGTCCAACCGACATGGCCTGCTGCATGATGGCGAGGACGGATTCCACAGTCTTGGTTGCTCGATCACCGATGTCTCTGTACCAGACGGTCTTGTAGAACTCGTTGTTCCTGCAGTGTCACTTGGCTCCAAAAGCGGTGCTCTCAAGCCACGACAGAAGACGGGTCGGTCCTATCGATCAAAGCACCGTTGCCAGATGGCAAGTACCTCGGAGCCACGATTAACAAGCCTTGCAAGTTTTGCCAAAGAAGCTTCTGCAGCTTTTGCGCGGTCCAACACGTCCCCAGGCAGGACCAGTCTACAGTCTACAGTCTACGTGTCTCGCGAAGCGCAGAATTGCCTCTGTGCAACCCAAGCTGATGCTCATCAGTCTTAGTTTGGTGCCAGGATGCTTGTAGGCCATAGGACTATCCACCGTCAGCAAGTTCGCATAACATTCGTTTTGCGACAATACCTCAGCACCGTCCCGGGCTAAGCGGTTAAGCTCTTTGTGTGCATCCATCCACATCCTGTTGACGTGCTACTTGAGATTCATTCAATGCATGCCAGCCCCTGTCGACCCCCCATCCCCGCTCAGGCGTCATGTTGAAAACATAACACCTGGTCGGCAAAAAGATGTCGTCACACAGTGTGCAGGTGACATGAACCCAGGGTATGCCAAGCCACTGCATTCGCGTAGCAGAGGCATTTCCCCGTGTGTTCATGCCTGTGGCCAGACGATGCATCTGCAAGGCAGCGAAGATTTAAGGAACGTCACCACACCGATCCACATTGATGAAGCTAGGGAGTGTCATAGTTACCACCAGCCGTTCCCATATAATTACCCAACAAGACACACACAGAGGCACACACACACAGAATTTTTCCAACCGCCTGATAATTCAATACAGTATATCCCGGGAGAATCCGAACCCTGCATACTTCTGCCCACATCCAGTACAACATCTCAGCACAATCTTGAGCCTGGCCCTAACCGGAACACAGAAATCATTTGTAGCCCTGAACTATGCACTGTACACCAACTCCCCAGCCTCAGTTTGCCTCAATCATGCAACCCTGAACTGGGAACGGTCGAGATCTGCTCGGTCAAGAGTGCCCTGCTCACTTTAATTTCAGGACACACGACAAATTTGTGATTTTTGTCAGACATCCGGGCTCATCTGGGCCTGTTTCTGTGTCTGCCTAAGCACTGTCCAACAGAACTGCGTAACTGCGCCACGACAACCAAGAACTTGGCCCTGCCTGAAGTTCCTTCCCAACTTGAAGCACAATCTGATAAGTCCCAGTGTTTTCGTCTGCTTGCTGCAACTCAATGAAGGATGCGTCATGCGTACCGGCAATCAGGAGCTGAAAAACACCCTCCGGAAATCAAGAAGTGATCAAGGTTTCTTGAATTGGGGCTGGTAGCACGTGTAACCTTTGATGTCTAATGCTGGGCTACCTACAAAAAAACATGGACGCCACTTTGCCTGGTGGCTGATATCTAGAACATAGACTTTGGTGGGAGGACGTATTGAATCTCTGGTGAGGAATGTGTTAGGAGTTGGTTTTGTACGGGAACATCGAGAAATTGAGTCATGAGACGGTCAGAAATATACCGGAGGGTACAGAGCAGAGCAGTTGTACCTAGGTAAAGACCCTCCCCAGCTCAACCCCGGGAAGCACCGGCGAGCTCACAGTCGGAGCCAAGAGTTCCAGCCTGATGAGGTACTGGTTGTACGGTCGACCGTTCCCCGCGGTCTTTGACAACTGCATCTTCCAGCTGCAGTCTCCATACAAGCATTCCTCAGAACTGACAAACATGGTTCAGAGCTCAACAGCAGAGCATTACCTTGTGTTATTCAGCGTGGCCTGTCACCAAAAGGTGTCTTTATGATTGGCCGTACACAGCTGATGCTGAAGACTTTGCGCAAGCGCTCTGAGCGTCGTTGTTGTATCCATTTCGCAAGCCTCCATCAGCATAGGTATTCACCCATCCGATACCCGCAGCACGCTCGTCCGAGAGGAAGTTCACCCTCAAGTACCGTACAAGCAACACCACAATGTACATTTGTCTTAACACAGCCGTTGCCTCGTGTCGTTGGATCGTCCATAGTACGCGCGATACTGCAGGATATTGCTTTCGTCTTCTGCACCTTCAATCGTAACCTGCCACGGGGAAATCAATGGTGTGCCGGCCTATAACATTTCGGGTAGCCGAGCTTGCAAATCAATGAAAGCATAGCTCGCCACAGAAGTTCCAAAGTGCAAGCTTGACGATGCGGCTTAGACTGGCCTTGTCTGCTCTAACCCTGCCATGTAACAATGCCCAACTCTCGGCCTCACCCAGCAGGTAGCCACGACGAACATCAGAGTCGCTGAAGATGACGGAACTTGGGGTGTATGTCGGCTTACCTGGGTTGACAAGGTCAAAGCTGCCTCACGACCGAGTAGAATGACCCGACCTGGAATCTGCAAGTCCATGAGCAGGAGCACATCACCTGCCAGTCGCTGCAAGAGCAGGACGTGCTGCGCAATCCCTATAGTTTCAAACGGCTCTAAACCGCCAACCCTCAAATCTAAGTGTCCTTGCACGGCCCGGACTCCCTGGAGGCTGGGCCAGTCAGGCGGTGAAACTCCGGCGCCTTGACTTGTGGTCAGATGCAAGGCCAAGACATAGAGCGCCCCGGCGGTCATGTTGCAGCCCGTCGCTTGCCAAATGTAGCCGGAGCCCACCTTCCAGTTGCGGGCGGACATCGCCAACACTCGCCGGGATACCCCGAACCCAGAAGAAACTCCGTTGAGGCATCAAGCCGACGGAGCCTGGTGATGGTCCATGATGCGGCAGCCCGGATCCAGGATCTGCAGGGGCACTCAGGAATAGCTTCAGACGGATGACCGTGCTCTCAGAATCCCTTGTAGGTCACGCGGCTCTAGAATGCACAGTGAGCTTGCTTGCCTGAGTCCACACGTTTGCCAAAGGCGTTATCACGCCTCAGTTGCACGGAAATTGTGTGGACAATGTGCAACGGTCGTCTACTTCTGGTTTTCTTTGACGAGCGAAGGAGCACCAATTCTCTTCAGTGTGATTTTGCTGTCGCAATACCTCCCTTGCATGCACCCGTACGCGAGGCTACTCCGGAGGAAGATACTAGAGTGAAGGGCCCGCTTGCATCGCCCCTTTCCCAGCCAGCTTGCGGTTCTTGGCCATGCCGGGGGCGACGACAACCTGCGTCGGAAAGTCGGGGTGATAGGATCTACAAAGGCGAGGCTCCTCTGCATAGCTTGTATTCTGTCATACAGACAATGCTTTGTCTCCTCTACCCAATGGCACGCTGCTCAACTAGGATCCCCGCAGCTCCCGCTTAAGATTCATCCCGCATTTCTCGTGGAGTTTAGCAGCTGAACTTCGAGTTTACACCAAACGCTGTTGGGCCCGTTGGGTCTGAAGACTATCTGTTTTCATGGCAGGCTCTAGCGATCATGACAAGCGCGACGGTCTGAGCACTCCAGCCTCCAAGATGCACCAGTCGCCGGAAGGATCGGACTGCTGCGTTACCGCCTCGATCCCGCATGTCTCTGCATGCCACCCTTACTATAACATAGGCTGCAAGGCATAATCCCGGCCGCTTTGCTGCTCGTACCGCTGTCTGGAAGCATTGACATGCCCAAATGAGGACCCTAGTCCACAGCTCAGTCTCTCATGCGTTCAAGTCACACAACTGGTGAAGTTGAGGCTCAAGGAAAATCCATCTGTGCCCGGCCTGAGCGCACTAGCTTTCAGCGATCTGTCGTTGGAGCCAAGACCCAGTCAGCTGAACAGAATACAGAGCCTAAGAAGAACTACAGCCACTGACTCGCCTGCCCTACTTTGAGTCCTAGTGCTGCTGCTTTTCTTTGTATTTGTTGTTGCTGTCAGGCTGTCATTATCACCGTTTCTCCTCTTTCTCCTACTACTCCTTCTCCTCCAAAATGCATCACCACCAGCAGCACGACTACTGGCTACTCCTACTGGCACTGCTACTGCGACTGCTACTGCCCCTAATCCTACTTCTACTCCTACTCCCACTCCCACTCCTACTACTGCTGCTGCTACTACTACTACTACTACTACTACTACTACTACTACTACTACGTAGCACTAGCACCACCAGCACCACCAGCACCACCAGCACCACCAGCACCACCAGCACCACCAGCACCACCACCACCACCACCACCACCACCACCACCACCACCACCACCACCACCACTCTTCCAGAACACTCACGACCCCGACTATGAAGCTTGTCCACGTTCAGCACGGCTGCATTTAAGATCTTACAATCGTGAAGAAGGTCAGAGAACGACGAAGGCCTGAAGGAAGATTGCAACGAGAAGGATACTGGGCAGCAGTAATTTCAGGATATCCTTGCCAAGATTAGCATGAGGAAATGGCCCTAGTCTTCGTGGGGGGAGGCCAGAAAACGTTACCGGTAACATTCCCACGCCCCGGGAGGGAAATCATGGTTCCTTGTAAGGGCGTGCAACCCCCCTCTGGGTAACATATGGTCTCGCCTATGTTGCTTGTATATGACAGCGTGAATACATACAAGAGAGAGACTCAGTCAGACTTGCACGCAATCGTGCCTGGAGAAGCAGTAGCCTGGAGGATCCGGCGAAGCAAGCCAAAACCGAGCCGGTGCAATTGGCAGGGCTTGGGCATACTTTGCCAGTGTGCGGCTGCCTTTGTTGCTCTCCCTTCCTGTTTCATCCTGCCTGGAGGATTCGGCGAAGCGGGCCAAAACTTTGGCTAAAACCGAGCCGGTGGATGAGGCAACGAGGCTTGGCCTGGGCGTACTATAAACAAACACACAGCTCCTGCCGAGGCCATGCCACATGTGCCGCCTGCGTTGCCTTCTGATGCGGTTCGAAAGGACTCAGATGCCACCCTTAAACCTTAAGCCCTAAACCGTGCAGTTCAGGTGGCAGGTGGTGTGAACCCAGTTATGTATGGCTGAGTGGTAGCCAGGCACATGGTGGCAACTGGGTCCAAGGTGTTTTTGCTTAGCCGGCTGCCCGAGGAACCCAAGGATGATTCCCATAAGGCTTTCTTCCCGGCCCCCAAAGATAGCTTGGAGTCGGTGGCAAGGATCCGGCGAAGCGGCCGAAAACCGAGCAGGTGCAAGAGGCAGGGCTCGGGCGAAGTTTGCCAGCCGAGAACCACACAGCCATTCCTGGTGAGTAGGTTTGGGAGTGCAGAATAACCAAGCCAGGGCGCTTCGTGACTTAATTGGAAGTGTCCTGATGAATGGGTCTTGGAGCGCACAACAATCACCTGCACACGCTTGCTTTTTCACGGAATTATTTGAAGGTTCCTTCTAGAGAAACACGTACAAGCACGTAAACGTTACCGGGGTGGGGGTGTAGGTACGGGAAGGCCCGGGCAGGGCACGCTTTGCAGACCGTGGACCCCTGTCTTGGTAACATTTCAGGGCTGCCGGTGGTGCTTCTGGGGAACCCGAGGGTGATTTGCTTCGTCACGGGATCGGCTCCTTCTCTTATTTGAGGGTTCCTTCTAGAGAAGCACGTACAAGCACGTAAACGTTACCGGCGCGGGGGTGTAGGTACGGGAAGGCCCGGGCAGGGCACGCTTTGCAGACCGTGGACCCCTGTCTTGGTAACATTTCAGGGCTGCCGGTGGTGCTTCTAGGAAACCCGAGGGTGATTTGCTTCGTCACGGGATCGGCTCCTGCTCTTATTTGAGGGTTCCTTCTAGAGAAGCACGTACAAGCACGTAAACGTTACCGGGGCGGGGGTGTAGGTACGGGAAGGCTTGGGCAGGGCACGCTTTGCAGACCGTGGACCCCTGTCTTGGTAACGTTTCGGGGCTGCCGGTGGGGCTTCTGGGGAACCCGAGGGTGGCTTGCTTCGTCACGGGATCGGCTCCTTCTCTTATTTGGGGGTTCCTTCTAGAAAAACATGATGCATATTCCTGGCCCCCGACAGTACCGCGCAACAGTTATGCGTTATACAGTATAGAACGCACATTCACACAAATCAAAATGCACAACGGATCATGCACATTTTTCGGGCAGGATTGCCAACTGGCCGGTGCAAGGCACATTTTCAGAGCTGGATGGCCGCACGGACATTCTCGAATGCAGGCCACCAGGGAGCCCAGAATCCACCAATCGTGACCTCACGCCGCCCCTCCTTTTGGCCGTCGTCGTAATCGTAGTGTAGGATGAGGAGGAGGAGGAGGAGGAGGAGGAGGAGGAGGAGGAGGAGGAGGAGGAGGAGGAGGAGGAGGAGGGAGAGATTGTTGCTAAATGTGCATTCGCAAATGTTCATTGTTGGAGCCGCAGGTTTCCAAATGTTCATTGTTAGATCTGCATGTTACCGCATGTGCATTCGCAAATGTTGGCGAAATATGCATGGTTGCGACTACCGTACATGTTACTTGGATGGTTGAACGGTACCGTTGACTGGCTTTGCATTTCGCATCTGACATGTTCTGCTAATATTGCAATCCTCGCGTGAACCACGGAGGCAGCATGCGCAGTCATAGCTGAATGTGCATTCGCAAACATGCATTCTCGGATCTGCAACCGGAGAATATGCATTCTTGGATTTGCAAGTTGCCAGATATGCATTCGAAGATATGCATTCTTGCAGTTGCATGTTGCCGCATATGCATTCTCAAATGTTGGTAAAATATGCATTATCGCGATTTCCGTACATGTTACTTGGATGGCTGATCGGCGGTCATAAGGCTACACCAGCAGGCTGACTATGTTACCGGAACGTGGGTGCACCCCAACCATCGTGATCATCATGATATGCGAAATGTTCCCGCAGGCCTCTGGTAACAGACGTCACGCCCCCCCCCGGATACATTATTTAGTGAAGGGCCATATGAGGAACGTACAGCAGCGGCAGAAAGCACATCATGTCCTCCAAAGAAAAACGAAAATGGCAGGTTAACAGGGCGCTCAGGCCTCAGCAGCACTGATGCTTCGCTGGACAATGGAACGAAATCCAGCGAGGACGACAGCACTGATGCCAAGGATACCTGTGTAATATAAAGGATGATGATGAGGATGATGGTGATGGTGATGATGATGACGGTGATGATGATGATGATGATGATGATGAAGATGACGATGGTGGTGGTGATGACGATGATGATGACTGCGACGATGGTGATGATGGTGATGATGGTGATTATGGTGATGATGGTGATGATGATGCCGGCGATGATATTGACGATGATGACGGTGATGATGGTGATGATGACGATGATGGTGATAGCGAAGGTGACAATTCTGATTATGATGGTGGTGGTGGTGATGACGACGATGATGGTGATCATGCTACTGGTGACGAAGATGAAGATGACGATTGTTACGAGCTCCGGTCTTGCCGGATGACATTCCCAAGAGCAGCGGGTCCGCGGCAAAGCCTCCAAGGCCGCTAAGCCTGGCACATGCTCTCGGAGGCTGCGACACACTGGAACACAAGTTTCATATGCGTGCTCCTGTCTCGATTCTCGATGCACAGGTCCTTCACAATGGCTACGGCAGAGAACTGCTCGCAGGCACTTGCACAGAAAGTGCGAAGAAATAAGTCGTGTGCAGGAAATGCTGATTGAGCCTTCTGCTGCCCTCTGTACTTCCCGCGACATCACCGCGGGCTTGGAAGGGAAGCTGGCCTCGATTCCACACACACACACACGAGTTGCACAAATCGGCTAGAGACAACTGGGAGTTGCTTGCGAGTCGAGGCATACAATGGCCTAAAGCCGAGGCTTGCACGAGAAGGGGCAAAGCCACAACCGCTCATCTGTGACAGGTGTTTGACCCTGGTAAGTGACGGACCATTGACGCGCTGCTCACATGGCCTGCCAGAAACCTCATGAAGCATTCAGTTGGGCTGGAGCGACAACAGTAACTCAAAGGGCTCCGAACAACGAACGATTGGCTGCGCTTTCACCAGCCTACCCTGACTTGCACGCAGCTGACCTTTCACGTGATCCTGCCCAACCGCCATAGAGGCTTCTGCAGCCGAGGGACACCCCCGCCACAGGCGCAACAGGCCGAGGTAGCATCGACACCTGCCAGGATAAGGCTGGAATGGTCGTGAATGCATCGTCTCAGAAGTGCCTGGCAAAGATACTGAACAATACTGTAGTGGACTTGAAACAGACATGCATTCTGGTACACATGATCGTTCTGTGCAAAAAACATGCATTGTCAGGCAACGGGTATGCTGCTTGGCATCTCTGGAGCCTGAACCATCTGCCAGATCTCCAAGAGTCATCCCAGCGAAGCCGTCTACAAGCCGCACGTCCCAGCTGCCGACAGCTCCCCTGAAGCGCAGCATCCGCGTTAAGAACAGCTACGCGGCGCTTCAGCTTCAACTCACCAAAGGATTCGCAGTCCGTCAAAAAAACCTCAACTAATGTGCTGCCAAGCAACCAGCCAGTGCTGATGTGCACCTCCATGCTCCAACAAGCAGCTACAACTACAACACCATCTTCCCTTGCTCCGCTCCAACATTAACGTTGCGTTGCTGCTTCTCCGTGCTGCTTTGCTGGCCGTTTCCACAGAAGGGACCCAGCCGAGACTTTGACCGGTGTCCTATCACTGTTGTCGCTCTGCTTTTGCATGGCTTCAGCCTCAGCTACAGACCACAGCCCTCCTTCCCACACAGGCCCCGCTCGTTGCCCTAAGTTCGTTGCAGGGTTCGCTGGTGGTTTTTGATGCGAAGTCGCGACATCTCGCATGCCACGAGAAACTCCAAGTGCAATCGCCCAGACCGTGCAGATCCGGGTCTGCTTTGGCCAGACGAAAGCGAACTTACGATGCGGCAAAGGTTGGCAAAGCGCAATGGCAGGTGTGGCACAGAATGCACAGCGTGGCGGGCCTCATTGAGAAGGCTGACCTGGGAGACACTGTCGTACCTGACATTGCTGAAAACAAAGCAACTGCCAACAGTCTGCTTTCTGCGTACGCAGGCGGTGCAGTAAAGCGTCAAGCAAAAACACAAACTGAAGTGCCAGTGCCAGGACAACAAGAGCCACTGTGGTAGGAATCGCGCAGACTTTTACCGAATGTTCGTCACTTGCGTAGACTACGAACTACAGTCACTACACTTATTGTGCTCAGATACTATAAAGCCCGAACGGTGGAAACTGCAACTAAGAAGGCCGAGGTCGCCAACTTCGCATGCTGACCAGGTTGGTCGTCAGGTAGGAGCCGTGGAGGAAGCCCATCTCCCAGAAGACCTCCGACCAGAACTGTGCTGAAAAAGCAAAGAGAAAAGTAGCAGGTGGGGAGCATGTTGAGAAGGATCCTGGAATGCGTCCGTTTCTGTGTGTGTGTGTAAATATACATGCCACGTACATATGTACGTACAAAAAGACATACATGCTCACATGCATGCACACAGACAAACTGACCTATACACACACATATACACACACACGCGGAAACACGTGCAGGCGTCCTCATTGCGCCATGGTTGCTCTGATTGCTTCTTGTCAATATTGAATGCTGGCTATATTAGCAATCATCGGGGTCTGAAACGCCAAAGACTGTGCCCTGAAACACTTGGGCTTGACAAGCTCCCGTTGAAGTCGGGCCTCCCCCCGTCCAACGCTGAGATTGCCATCCCAAGCATAGTAGACCTTCGAGTCAAAAGACCGCTTGCACAATACCATGTACATGTCCGAAACATCCTTGAGGTCCAGGTACAGCTTACTACGGTATGAATGTCAGGATCGGTTTCGGAGCCGATTAGGATGAGAGTCAGAACAAGATGAGGATGCATGGCTGACCAGGTGCCCAGAATGTTTGCATGTCCGACGGGTCCAGCAGCGCGCCGTAGTAATTGCCCAGAGTTTGAAGAGTTGGCTGCGTTCGCAGCACCTGGTGGCAAGCTGCTTCAAAAATCCCGAATGAGACCGCAAAGAAATATCTGATGGCGAAGAACAGCTTGCGACTGCGACGGCGAGGCACTGATTGCCCGTTGTTCCAGCCGCCGACCACAATCTCAAAGCCGTACCTCAGCTTTCAACGTACCCCACACAACCAGAGAGTCACACGGCCCAGACGTCTCAGCTACTGTGCAGCTAGGACAAGCCGCACATGCCCCGAAAACCTCCAACACTTTAGCCTACCAGCAGCCAGCAGCAAGAAGAGGTGGTCGGACCCCTGTGTTCCGCGCTTTCCTAAGACCCTACAAGTGACGGGAGGTGTTAGAATCCCTCGCGCGAATGCATGAGTCTTAAAGGGAAGAGGATCATAAGCCGAAGACAAGAGCCATCAGAAGCCATTGAAGACGTGGCTCTCACCAGGCTTGCCGAGGAAGATGTGTGCGTCGTTCGCGGCCGCAACGGACACCAACATCTTAAGTGGCTTGCCTAAGATGGGCTGCTGCAGAGGTCATATGACTCCTCGTGCGAACTGGGTAGTCGGACCATCCCTGCAAGATTGCAACCTGCTGACCCAACAAGGATGTTGGCAACACTTACTAACTGACATGCAAACAACCCGACACGGGCATAATTTGCGCTCGCAGCTCGTGACAAATTACTTCGGCACATGCTGCCTGGAGAAATGTCAGTGTTGTACAAGAACTGATACTGGAAGTACTCCGGAGTCATACGGAGTCGTCCGCCGAGTACCTGCAGCATCTAGACTAACGCGGGAACAGAACTTTTCTACTGCACACGGAAGCTTCGTGCTCCTCATAGTTCTACATGCTTGCTTTGCAAATGCATGCAGCGTCTCAGGCACATCGCACAAAGATAAAACTGAGGCACCAGGGCATCCGAGGACAGTGAGTTGGAATCGCAAGCCGCAAACATTTCATAGTCCTGCATGGGCTAAGCCATGTCAGATCCTAGTCCTACAAGTAGTACTGGAGAGCCGCAGTGACCGGTGAGGAGAAGCTAGGGCATGGCTGGCAAGATCAGCCTCGAACCGAGCAGCAACCGGCTCCTCGCAGGTGTAGCCCTGGCTATCCGTCCAGGCGACTGGAGAGTCTGTACAAGTCGTGCACCTGAACAATTTGTCTTCTCCCCTAGTTGAGTATGCAATGATTTACAAGCATACTTTCGCGTGCCTGTCGACTGTTGTTTGTCTCTGCACCCCACCCAAGGCCGCATCCGGAAGAAGAACTGCCTCCGGGCACCAGTCTGGGTGGTGGTGATCAAGCCCACTCGAGCAGCAAGACAATAAAATGCAGATCTGCAAGGCAAAAGCCCTGTTCAGGTTGTCCATGACAACAAAAGCGCTCCGCACTTTGCAACAGCTTCAACCTCTGCAAAGACAACCTGCCCTCTTCCATGAGGCCTCCTTCGTGCAAGTCCAGCCATCCTCAAGAGTTCAGCACGGATCAGATCTTAGAGTCCAGTCTTCTTAGAGTCGAGGTAGCCCGCGCGAAGTCACTCTAAACTCCATGGCATGGCTCGTTGTGCAAGTATGAAGGCAGCTCAACTGGCGTGATGGCACCAGTTAAATCGCCAATCCCCAACGACACACGGTCCGCTAATCGCCAGAGTAACCCTGTTCACAGAACATGCTGTTGACATTAAGCAGCCAAACTGTAGGCGGGCATGGCTGCATCAACCTCTTGTTCAACACCAAAAGGTCGCACGAGCTGGCGAGCACAGCGCTTCTGAAAAGCTGCCAATGATCCTGGACCCTCGGAAGATTGAAACGCTCTGACCCCGTGTGGTCCACAATTGGTGTCGATCCCGTGGATGTGTCGGTAACATGCTGCGTCCTCCACCAAGCAGGAGCTGCTGCAGCCATCCCCATCCTCCGAGCTCAGGAATGCACAAGCGATGAACACAAAAAATGCTCTGGAGAAATCTCAAGATCCTAAACCACGTTCTGGAAAACGACGGCCAACCTCGGCGTTCCCATCATCGCAGGGCTCCGGCTGGCCCGCTGCCAGGCGGGCAGAGCGAAAACAGTCCCCGCAAACCTGCATCGTGACTCGTGATGTGATCACTCCACAAGATGACTGCTCCGCGCTAGCTGGAACAAACATCCCGATGTTGAGCATTCCTCGCAATCAAGCTCGCATTGCGCTGGGCAGCGGAACAAAGTCCGTACCCACAAAGATGGTCGCACTGTCCGGCAAGTTTACCTGCAGCTGCAGCGGTCTGCGGCAACGTAGCTTTCTTCGTGTTGGTAGGCAGCTTTGCCGCATCTCCATCGGTCAGCCACCATGACTGCTCGCAGCTCTACGGCAAGTAGGGTAAATGTGATGGGCCAACATGGTTTTCCGTGCAGCCCATCATGCTACCCAGGCACCACAGGTCGGGCAAAAGCTCTGTTCGCATGAGAAAGAGCCACTGTCGACCATGGCCTGGCAAAAAAGGGGGCAACACCCAAGACATGACAACATCCTCCCCGAATCTCCGACGTCTGACAGCGCCTGGCACTGCCCCGTCAGCCCCAACCGTGCGTCGAGGTCGTTCTGGCATCCAGCCGGCACGAAAGGATTTTCCTTGACGGGACAGAAATGCCCCTTGACATGTCTAAAGCACGGAAGAGGAAGGCATACCACATACTCCAACCGCTATGTGCGGCTTCTGCGGGAACCCCTCGGCTTTGAGAAAGTGGCTGGGCAGCAGAGATTGAGCCCACAGTGATCCTGCCAGAGCGCAGTTTTTGGCCATGGCAAAAGGGTCGCAAACCTTAAACCCTTTCTCCCCCTGCACTAGATAGATCCCTTAAGGTAAGGACTTGTGTCAAAACGGACTTGGCACTGGCATTTCCTACTCTGATCCAGGTTGAGCATACCCTTCCGCTCCGGTGCCACCAATCCCACGGTTCCAGCAGCTGTCGAAGAATCACATACCTCAGATGCACAGACCTGATGTGGCCGAGGCACGCCGAGTCCAATATTGCTGGACCCAGACCACGTAAGTCAAGTCGGAGCTGTGTGGGAATCCGCTTCATGTCCCACCTGAAAACCCTGAAAGGAACGAGCAATCATCACCAACTGGAAATACAATCCTCCTACCAACCGTGGGCTTTTGTAGCCGGAAGCAGCATCCACCGCTCAAACTGAACATAGCCGATCCCCGGCATGCAAGGTGCCCCAAACGGGAACTGGCCGTTCGGCAGCGAAGCTGGTGGCAGATTTCTGACAGCATCGTTTTCTCCCAGACCTGCGTTGAGGGTACTAACCCTTGGAAGGATGAAGGGCACGGCATCGAAAGTCTGTCTCCGACTTGGCTTGCTTGCATCTTCCTGTAGTCATGCGGCATCGAAGCGTTGTGTTGGAACCGAGGCAGGACGGGGCTCCGCCACAGTTGCAGTGCACCTGAGTGGCATTGATACGGCCATTGATCTAAGACCTGAGAACGACACTCCAGAGTTAAAATCATCCGGTCCTGTATGCGGTGCAACCTTTTGGGGTTTCTGGCGCGTCAGCGCACTCAGAAGCACAACCATGCCTCACTGCCCTATAATCGCCCTACACACTGCATTCGCCGCACGTTCTGAAGGGTAGGCCTCTATAAACCCTCGACTCCCCAAAGCTTCAGCCACGTGGTGCAGCCTGTGAGGCAAGGGGCAACGCAGTCACCGCATTGGGGAATGTTGGCACAGGCCGAAGCGTCCTCGCGAGAGTGAGTTTCGAACTAACCGAGGAATGCAGCAAAGAAGGCCCGGTGTCAATTTCGGGCTACGAATACCCGCTCGCGGCGTCTGCAAGTTGCAAATCCAGACTCATTCGTCTTCACCCGAGCTCGGCTTCATTGCCATGCCTCTTTAGAACAAACTGACTGCAAGACCCGGATGCGGCAGGGTTGGCCCTGGTTTGTGTTCTGCGGATTCCAAGCAGAGCATGCAGAGATATTAGGCTCAGTCAGCCCAATCCGCCAACAGTTGGAAGCCCGTGCTCTCAGAATGAGCAACTTCAGACGGCCGATACTAACGCCCGTCGAGCCTGGCCCCCACTACACCTCAGAATCTAGAAGAGCCATGACGTTTAAGCCTCAAGAACCTGACATCTACCTGTCAAACCATTGTTTATGTCGGTCCTGCATGGGCCCTAATGGCCCCGCCCGTGGCGCCTGGCATGTTCCCTGAGATGCTGCCCATGGCACAAACAGCGCAATAAGGACAGCCGCTGTTCGCATTATGCCTGAGTCGCACCCGGGTATCGCCCACCGATCTCTGGCGACGCAGACATGTTGTGCACTCACAACAGAGTTCAGACAAGATACATGCGCCATGCATGACCTGGTTTCAGGTTGCCTGGCGCGACGTCCAGCAGGGCATCCTTTTCTGCCCAGCCGTAAATTTAAAAGCCTTTTAGCCGAGGCGGCTGCGGTATGCCCTCACATAAACTCTCAACAGTGGGGAGTCGGATTTCAAGCTTCATTGCATGATGCTAGCAAAGAGCAAGGCCAAGGACAGCAAGCTGCAAGCAACTCAGGCTGCCGGCTGCAAGCAACAGTCACAGCTAAGCCGCTGAGCTCTGAGACTGAGAACCAGTCTGAGGCGAGTTCGAGCGGCGCCAGCGCCGGCGGCTCTTCTCCACCTTCGTGCCAATTGCAGCTTTATGGAAGCGACAACAAATCGTGTCTCTCCTGAGATGCATACTCAGTTACTCCCTACTGTGCACCGTGCAAATCAGACGTCACGGGAGTCGAGTTTGCAGCCTGCTTCAGTAAATTCTCCGGCGTTTTGCGCCCGGCGGATTACCTGTCAGAAAAGGGAACCGCATGCCGAGCGCTGCAGGAAGCTATGAAATTCGTTGCGGCCTGTCGCTTGTGAACACCTCCCGGGTCGCGATACACGAGGATGTTGTGCAGGCCACAGCCTTCACAGGAACTCCGAGCTCAAACCCATAACATCCCGAACCCATGAGTGCTCTCGCGACACTGTCGTCACGTGGCCTTTGCAGCCACAAACCTTCGCCTTGATGCAATCGAAGAAAGTACCTACAGAAAGAGCGAGCAGGCTCCTGCTGACGCTCAAGCTTGGCTTTCCGACAAACCTGCGATGCAGTGGCCACCAAACTTGAACCCGACAACGGCCTAAGGAACCGGCCGATTGAGAGCAAGCCGAAGATCAGCGATGAGACGGCCAAGTCCTGTGCCATTCGATGGCCGTACCTCAATGCGAGCAGACTCTACAGCCTTTGGTGCGCGGCTACTTCGGCTACCTAGCGCTGCTGAGCTGCACCTTGCTTGAAAAAAGGTTGGCCCACAAAGGCGAAAGCTGCGTGCAGCCAGGGAGCAGCCACAGCTTAGCACGCCGCCTCAATGCCAACGGAGCACCTGCACAAAACGGAAGAAACCAGTACTGCATCACAAGCACATCATCAATCTTCGCAACTTGTCTGTCACCCGGACGGTAGTTGCGGAAGCTTGCCAAGTCCCAAATCTCACACCGTGCCTGAACCTTTGAGACGGAACGCGCACTCCACCAGTTCCAAACACAGTGAGAGCAGTGAAAACTTCCTTAGGCCAGGTCTGCGACGCTGAGGGCTCTAACGGATTCCGCTGTGTGTTCGAAGGTGTCTGTGAAGTCTAAGTAGTGCTGCCCAACACCTCCTTATCTGCCCCGAATTACCTGGATTTGCCTGGTCAACCCTTACCGGTTATGTCGGTTCGTTGTCAAATCGCTCTGCTTCATATTCTTGAGATGTTCTCACATCTGGTATGATGTCGTATTCTGGTAGCCATGACACTCCTGTGCCGGTAGAAGCGGCGGGTGTGAAGCCACATGGAGACATGTGTTGAACTGCTGATTGCATCGCAGGGGTCTCAAGGCAAAATCCAAGAGTCAGAAGAATGCCAATGGTAAAGGATTTCCACCAGCGCAGGCTCAGAAGCTTCCAAAGGTAGCAGAACGTCTCGACCTGGGATGGATCCGAAAACATGCAATGCTCTGCGGGTGCCCGTAGTGGAGATTGGCTGTTTGTCGGGGCATGGCCATAAGCCCAAGCGGCCAAGTCCGCCAAGACCACCAGCAATGCACTCCAGCCATAGTGGAGCTCCTGATTGAAGTCACCAGAACTTGAGGCGGGCTTGCTTCGAGGCTTGAGCTCGAAGTGCGCAGCTACACAAAAAGAAGAGGAATTACCCGACAACCCTTCGGAAATTCGCTTGAAGCTCTCCGAATGATGCTGACACCTACCGAAGTGCTCGCAAACCCTGGAGATGGAGATGTTTGGGACTTGCTTTACCAACGTTCACTCTCCAAGCTATTGCTTCCGAAGTGACGCGCCCGTCGTCGCATCCGACCAGTTGAGACACTTGAGGTAGGACCTCGGCTCAAACATACCCGTGGGTGGAAGCCCTGCTTTGACGGAGCCAGTTGTCTGCATTAGCCGAGAAGCCGCACAGATGACAATCGACATGCCGACCGGAGGCATGACCACTAGGGCGATGCTGAAGGCGGATCGGAAAGTACCTGCAGCGTCCCCCTGAGTTAAGGCTTGCCAGGTGAAAGCACTCTTGTCCTACAGGCCTTCAAAGATCACCGTCAGCATGTGCACCTGTTAAAGCACAAACACATCGACGGACAAATGCGCCGGTTTCAACAGCTGGCTTTCAAGGTCAATTCGGACTACGAGCTGTGCAGGGAAATGCGGGTCGCCGAGGACTAGCCGTTCGAGAGCCAATGCAATTGCTTCTTGCAGGAGGTCTTGGAGCATTGTTCTATGCATGAGTCGGTCATTTCGACATTCACCGGCATCGAAAGCACTGAGATCTCTTCTGAATCGACTCAACGGCAGACCCGAAGAGCCAACAACTCGCAAGTCAGGACAGGCTTGCTTGAACCTGGAATCTTTTGCTACATGCTGGATCCCCAAAACCTGGCCTTCTGATTCAAGATGGTGTACCAGCAGCCAAGGAAAAGAGCCCGCTTGAGGACCTGCAGGGACCCCTTGCTGGAGGCTTTCTTCTGCCTAAGCCTGCGTAAAGGATGGGAAATCCCTCACAGAACATAGCTAGCAGTGATGATAAGGAAGTATCACCTCCAATACCAGTAGCAATCAATTCAAGAACGCGACAGAGTGCGCGATGCCGACGTGCGACACGCTTCATCAAGCAGTCAAGCACACGCTCCGTGGCCGCCACACCACGTGTGACTCAAAAACATAAGATAATACTGATAATGCTTCATAACCAACAGCAACCTTTTGTCTCATCCCTGTCACGAATGGGAGCTGTACTTGGTGATTGCGGCGCCTCCATGGAGCTGGTCCGCAAGCCTGCGCCTATTCGCAGGCGCGTGTCGGCCTTCCAAGGATCGCAATAATGCTACATGCTCTTCTCTTGACTCTTCTTGTTCGGCTTTTGCAATACTAGCTGCTTCATTCCCAAACCGTGTGGTAACACCACGGCGTAGACGAGGGAGTGTTTAATGTCAGGGCGGCTGCCAAATCGCATCTTCTTCCGATCAATACCTAGACTCCTAGACTCTGGCGCGCGCGAACTTGATGACTCATCCTCCCGCTGCGTGTTTTTGGGCGGCGCTCGTGTGCCCAAGGCTCCTTCAAGTGAAATCCATTGAAATCCCGTATAAGGAGTCAGGACTCCGTCAAAAATCGAAATCCCGCCCAGTGCAGCGTGTTCTGGGGTGCCAGTCGTACTCCAGGGGTGCTCCTAGAGCAGTTGATAGGCATGTGCGGCTTGACTGCTAGGTGCTCTTTCACTGCTCGGGGTCTATGCTGACGGGATGCTATGGGCCTATTGTCATGATTGTCAGTGGGTCGATCAGGCAATGTGCGTCGATCAAGCAATGTTCTTGTCTTCGACGGAAACATGCACCAGAAGATGCCTTCTTGGGATTCTCGGCATACCAGAAAGCCCAGTGCTTGCCTGAAGGCGGGAAATTCCGATTGGTAAGTTCATGCTGCGGCAGCTGAAACTCGACGAAACCCGACAGTTGCTATCGACTGCTAGTTGCTTCATACATGCCCGGTCCTGAGGACTTGCCAAAACTCTATTCGAGCTTTCAGTTCCTGTCCGTCCATGTCTCATGTCTCAGGTCTTCAATCCTAACCGCGAATGGCCTCCGTCTTGGAAGAAGAAATCTCTCCAGTCCTGTCAAAGCGACTGAACCTTGAAGACTGTCCTGTGACCCCACTCCTAGCTGCATTCTCCGCGAAAACATTCCCAGACTTCCTTGAGGTCAGACCGGAAATGGGTGTAGGCAAACCTCAAAGAAGCAGATCCAGAATCGAGGCAATGGCCACGCTGAGCATTCACAGCTAAACTGTTCCAATCTACGCTGCCACCCTCACTGTTCCCTGCATTTGTTTAACATTCAGTGAGCCTTTTCCAGCCAGGGCACTGGTACGGATTGAATACGAAAGGTGCCAGGAGCCAAGAACCTGAATGTGGAAGGGACAGCCATGGCAGACCACCGAACCACGAAGAGGAGTCGAAGTCAGCCCCAATCACTCCAAGCAACAGATAGTAAGGCCCAGGGCAACGAGCCACCAGACCAAGGACTGCTCCACGGCCAGGCCACCTGCACCGCTGGACTAGCTCGTTCAGTCGTGCATCGCGTTTCATGGCCTGCACAGAGCACCATCACTGAGGCGATCAGCAGCTGCGCTCCTCGGGGGGGGGGGTGATCTTCGGGCAAGCGGCTGCCTGCTGTGGGAGCATGTGTTGGCTTGGCTTTTAAGGTCTCAGCCTACAGTTTGGGGTCATGTTCAGACGCCCTTCTACAGGCAGACAAGGCACCGTCATACAGCGCCAGGGTGGCATAGTCGTTGTACAAGCCACCTCCACCACCTACCAAGATCCGTTTCGCGAGGTGCCAGATGACTGCACAGAAGAAACCCCATGGAGAGCCTGAAGTATAAACTGAGTTTGCTGTCCCGGTGCAAACATGTAGCGAAAAACGTACTACGCCGTGGGAATAGGAGACGCGCACAACAGTTCGATGTGCGCCTCTTTTCTTGTCGCCATCAACGCCTTAGCTGCACCGCTTGGATTTGGCTTTGCACACCTCCGGGCGGCGATGTAACATGTGCAGTGCTGCAGAAACACCGTCATCCTGCTTGAATCAACTCTAGAAGGCGTAGGCTTCACAATGTGAAACTGTAAGAACTTATACCGTCCAAGTTGAGGCACGACGGAGAAAAGCGCGGCGCTCCGTGGGCAAGCCTCTTCCTGTTGGCAGATACTTTGCACCTGACCAGAAACACGTGGAGCAAGAGCCTGGGAGCTGACAGGCTGTGCAACTTCGCTCAACAAAATGATTCGAAACCTCTGCACCTGTTCTGTCTTGATTATCGGAGATAGCATGCACACTTGATCCGAGCATGTCTTACGTGTAGAAGACCACAGATGGCCTCCAAGCGTGACTTCGTTGGTGAGGTAGGTGCCAATGATCTTTGCCTGGCTGATGCAGCAAGCCTGGCTTGCCTCTAGGAATCATGCACATACTGGGCATGTGTATCCTTTCTCAAGGTCCCTTTGATGCTGCAAGTCTGGCAGAGCTCTTGAGTATATCTCCCCTTGTCTGTCTCCTGCCAACAGCCCGTGCCTGGAAGATGAAATGCAACGGCGCTAGGGTAACCATCCTGGCAAGGAAAAAACAGTGCAATGGAAACAATAGCTTGCGCCGTAGCTCGCACATTGGCAGGGACACAAATCGGACGAATCCAGTGTCGAGCTGCTGTCTTAACCCTATTGCAGCAGTTCAGATTCCTTGCCAAATCGCTTCGCAAAAGACGCTTCGATGTTTTCAGAGTTTGCAGTTCATGATTTCAAACAGAGGCTCTGTTTGAGAATACGAAGGAAGGCCGCGACCGAGCTACTCTCCAGCCAGACCTTGGCCAACGCGGCACAAGCACGCCTGTGCAGAGACGACGTAGATGTTTCCTCGGGTTCTGAGAGCCTCTAAGCCTCGGGCTTGCATGGCCAGGGGGGCTGTCTGCGCGACGATGAAAAGCATCAGTAGCCTGAGATGGCTCGGAGGCGCAGTGGCTCAGTGTAGGAGTTTTTCCTTTGACCAAGATTCCAGGAGTACTGGGTGATGAGCATGCGCGCGACAATTTTGGCACCAGTTTCGGACTTGTCATCTGACGCAGGCACAGGCTCGTGATGATTGCGGGCTGATTACAAGTACATCGGCATAATCGTGGAAGACTGCTGAAACCTTTGGATTTCAGCATTTGGGGATGCCAGCCTGCACTCATGGCAGGGAAATTCTGTTCCGGATCGTCGAGCACCACAAGTAGCCAAATGAAGACGAGCAGTGGAATACCTTGGTACAGGAATACTGCATGAGGTGCCTGCAACCAGCGGTTACAAAATCAGTCTGATGCCAAACACACGCCACCAGCAACTATCTCCCATATCCAACTCATCAGCCAACTCTATCTGACGATCCCATCATGACAAGTATCTGGCCTGTTTTATGCCTTGTGGGTCACCCCCATCTCACTCATTCTGTCTCTCCAGCTTCTCGATCTGACCTTTCCCGGCAATACTCGCTATACTGTCTCACCGGCATGCACACACACAGACATTCAAGAACATCTATATCTACATTGACAAGACACCAAAGGCAAACAAATTGTAAAACCCACAGACCACAACTTGGATAAAGACGCAGAGGGGGGTGAGAAGTCAAGTCAGGCGGGTAGGATAGAGGAGAGAGAGGGAGGGAGAGCGCAGTGGCGCAAGCAAGCAGATCCGCCGAAAGACAGACAGAAAACTGTTAGAAAAGCGAATCACACAAGAAAAGCCACCCTCGACTCATCGAAAACAGACAAGGCGGGAAAACTAGACGGATTGTCAAAACCAGGGATGTATGCTTATGTCCAGTTTCCAGATGTCTGCATGCCTGCTTGTTTTTGTCGAGCTGCTGATGCAAACTACTGCATCCCTCGGATAGGAGTCCCTGCAGGCGCAGGCAAGCGGCTCTTGGAGAGGAAGAACTGCGTCAGGTAGTACCCGGCATGTGCATAGAAGAACCTTGGCAGGCTTTCCCTTCGCAACGAATATGGGACTCCAGGAATGAGAGGGAGCAAAGTCGCGCTGACAGAATAGCAGAATGTATAGCCAGGAGCCGGGCTGGGCCCCAGCAATGATTATCTCTGCTTCTCCCTCATGCTTTGTCGCTCTCTGGGCCGTGCCAAGAACTACCTGAAAATTTTGCTGGCGAGAGGCGTCAGAAACTCAGGCAAGTCCTGAATGCAACTTGCACGGTGAACAGCGGAGTCTTGCATAGCTGTTCGTTGGTGTCCGCATGTTCTACCAGACCATAGATGCTATCCGACATCTTTGCTCTTTCTGGAAATCCCAACTTTGGACCTGTCGTGCCGAATCAAGCCAATCTTGTCTTGCTGACCGAATCATGCGTCACGACTGCTACAATAGCTCCTGAAGCAGAACAGACCTTACAGCCACTGCTGAGTCGAGAGCCAGCTCATTCCCCAGCCGTGCCATCTGCCGTGTCAGCATCTGCTCGCCCGTGCCGGCCGAAAGCTTGGAGAAGAAGGTGAGAATCTTGGCCCATGCATCAATTCCGGCAAAGTAGCCACAAAGTGACTGCTGCAGACATAGTAATACCTCCTGCGCGACGTCAAGTTCTGCGCTGGCACTACTGCTCATCTAAGCTCTCACATGCGTCTCAGATGCTGTGTTGAAGCCTAGATCTCTGCCCTTGGCCACATGCAGGTACCTGAACAAGCACAGCGAAAGCAGGATGGTCATCGAAGAAAGACAAATCTGCTCTACGAAAGGTCGGAACGCCGTCCAGATGCTCTCGGTGGACAATGTTGCGTCCATTGCCGCGCAGTGTGAGGTCCATCCCGGCAAATATGTCCTGCAAAAGGATTTGGGCACTATGTGGGCGGTGTTGCACATGGCACGTTCAGCACGCTGGCACTGCAGGCATCGGGGCTGTAGCTGAACATGAGAGCAAGCAATTAGCGGCTAGCGGCAAGCAGTCAGGCGTGTGTGAGCTCAGGAGAGATCAGACAATGACAAGCGAGCAGATAGTATGCATTTAAATCAATCAGCCACCTCTCCCCAAACCAGCCAGAAAGCTGAGCGCAATACTTGAGTGTGATCCAACTTCCAATTGAAATTCCGGGCGAACTCGAATGCTAAATCGCTAAATCTAAGAAGCTGTGAAGAAAGAGCGCGCAGGGGCAACAGAAAGAATCCCCAAACTCGCGAAATTGATCCTCGGACAAGTTGACCGTCTTCGTAGCTTTCGAGATCCCACCCTGCTGGATCATGACCTCCTTGTTCATCATGTCCTGGGTCGTTTGCTCTTTCTTTCTGCAACGGTTGGTCGGTTGCTCGATCTCTCGCTGTCGCTCTCGTCTCCTTCTTTGCTTTCTGCGTTTTCTTCTTAGCGGCATGGGGCCACTGACACTTCGCACGCAGACTCTCGTTCTTTCTTTCACACCTCTTGCTTGCTTGCTTGCAAGGCGTGTGGGGGCCTGACCCCCACACACACGTCGTGCGGTGCTACTTCAACCTCAGTCACATCTCTCTCTCTCTCTGTCTCTCTTCCCTCTCTTTCCCTCACTTCACAGGGGTGGAGCTCGCGAGAGCCCGCGCCTAGGCGCCACTTCCCCCCTTTTCGGTGGAAGGCGTTCGGTCTGATCGGTGTTGCTTGTCTGTCGTGGACCCAGCCCTCCCTGAACTTTACGTCCTGCATCCCGGCATCTTCTCCCGCGCTCTTTAGCGCTAAAGCCATGGGCCTACGACAGACATTCAACCGTGCTGTACTTATGATTGGCCGTCACTCCCGTTCCGAACACGACACTACTAAGGTTCAGGCCAATCTGATTTTTCGGAAGTGGTTGCCTATTGCCAGCTCGGTCCCCCTCGATACACAACAAACACTGATATGCAGTATCACAGCGTGTTGAGGGTGAGGGTCGCCATCTGTTGCACGACCAATATGCTACCAAATGATGGGATGGCTGCTCCCCTTTTCCTGGCTACTGTACAGTACCAGCGCTTTTACCTTCAGCTGAGCGTCCGTTTTTGGAGTGGAGCTGAGGTAGAAGCAACACTTCAACACGGAAGCTTGCACAACCCCCGACTGTATCTCCCCACTTGGCCAAGTATGACTACAGGAGTAGGTGGCTCGCTCTCTCTCTCTCTCTCTCTACCGGGCTTGGGGATTGGGGCAGCATCCAAGCCCCGCCCCCCGTGCGAATCGCACACCCGCTATTCGCGGCGCGTCCTTAGTCCTCGTGGAAATTTGATCCCCCGTGTCAGGGTTGTCCATTCACTGTTCCCCCTTTTTGTGCACTGTAATCGGGTGGACAGTGTGGACTCTTCCCCCGTTGTATGCAGCTCTTTCGCAGCGCAGAATTACAACACAGCGACATGCTAACCGAAATTCCCCCGGTAGCACTATAGTTTATACTCTGCGAACTGAGGCCCCGGCCAGGTTGCAAAAACGGCAAATAACTTATATCCCCCGTACTTCGTTCGCCTGGGCTTGGCTGCCTTGGTACTGGTCTGTGAAACATGGGCTGCAAAGGTGACCTATTGACACTGGTGGGTCCCCCTAGGCTTGCTGCCTGCGTTCCCTAGTTAAGTACACTCCCCGGCTGGTGTCACTAAGGCCCGTGCTTCCCATAAAAAGCAGCTTGAAGCCGTCTCCTTCTGTGGCTTCCCCCGTCGTCGTCGTCTTGGCGCGGGGAACGAGAGCGTGCCCTTTCGGCACTCAGTTGAGCTCGTCCCCCTCCCGGCGGCGGACTCCATGGCATGGTTGCGGCTTCGCTGTCGTCTTGTGTGGGGATGGTGGCCATATCCCCCACTTCGTTGACGGCTTGTTGCAAGCTTGCCGTCATGAGCTGTGCCATCTGCTCGGCCGTCAGGGCCCCTCCCCGCGCATGTGGCTCCGCAAGCTCGAGCTCGGTCGTGGTTTGGTCCAGGTTGTTGGGCTGCTCGTTGTTGGCCGCCACTTCCCCCTCGTCGTTCTCTTCTCCAGTCTGTGTTTGCTCGTGCACCGCGTGTGCACCCCCAAACATAGCTTGTTGCCATGCTTCAAGTGCTTGGAGCATTTCGACCCTAGGCATCATCAGCTGGTCATTCATGAAGGGCACCATGTTCCTCAATCTCCCAGCGGCTTGTAGTAGCCTGGTAGTCGCCGAGGATCTTTGTGAGGAGCGTGCTTCCCACTCTGTGTCGGCGTCCCCCGCGAGAGCGATTACATCAGCTGGGTGCGCCGTGGTGGGGTCCTCCGCCATGTTAACCGCTTCTCCTCTTTTGGTGGCAAGAAGGGCCGCCGGCGCCAGCAAGTCGTGCCGGTCGTTCCACCATGTTAAGGTGTTCCATTGGCGGTCTCCCCCCAGTGTTGCCAGTATGACCTTGTCGATCTGGTGGTACGCGGCCGTGAGCTTCAGGGTCGCTTTGTGGAGGCTTTGCTCGCTGACGTCCCCCGGCATGGGGTCTTTGAGCTCGGCTAGCCCCGTCTCCACCATGGCACGCAGTTGGCTGAGGTCAGTTGCGTACTCTTCTGGTGTGAAGCCCTCTCCTCTCCTCACACGCATGGAGGCTACAAAGCGGTATGCCTCGTTGAGCCCCGAAGGGCCTGCAAAGGCTGCTTGGATCCCCCCCGGTCGTGAGTGGGGAAAACTGTCGGCTTGTGTGAGCATTCTGAGCGCTATGGCGCAGATGTTGGAGATGAGCTCCCCCGCGCGGTTGTCCAGGCCATCTGCGATCTCATGTATCATTTGCAGTTGGGCCTAGGCGGCTTGGATCGCTCCCCCTTGCATGGGCTGCCAGGAGCGCCTGCGCCTCGACGGGGCCCGAAGAGCTTGCAGATGCCTGCCCCCCTGGTAGGTTGCGGCGTCTGCGTGGGCTTCTTGTTGGTGGTGCTCGCCGTCGTCGTCTTACAAGGCCACAGTTCTCTTCGTCCGTGGTCATGCCGTCGAGGTGGTCCCCCGTCTCGTTGTGAGAACATGCCGCCGGTGACGCGAGGGCGTAGTGGTAGTCGAAGTGGTAGTTTGGGTGCTCCCCCTCTGCATGAGCTCCACTTTCTCAGGTTCCGTGCCGTCGGGGGCTGGGGCTGGGCTAGGCTTTGGGCCTATGTGCCTCCCGTCTCGTACTTGGTGGTACCACGGCGTAGTGCGTGGGCCCGCTCTGCTGCAGCTTGTTGTGCCTCTCTGCTTGAACGGCGTAGGGTTCTCCCGTCTGAGAGAGGGTCTCTGTGGTGAGGTGGTTGTTGTGTCGCTGGTGGTGGTGGTTGCGGTGGGTCTTGCTGTTGCGCTTGCTGGTGCTGCGTTGTCCTGGGTGGGTCTTCCTCTGCTCTCGGAGTGTCCTCCGGCTGCGGCTGGTTGCTGCTCTGTGCGTGTTCCGCTGTGGGGCTGTGGTCGGTGTCCCCCTCCGTAAGGAAGCGGTCCGGCGTAGTGGTGGTGAACTGCATGTGCCAGTGGTTGTTCCCCCTTATCATGAGGAATTGGTCTCCCACTTGGAGGGCCAGGCTGTATGGTTCTTGTTGTGTTGCCATGGGTGTTTGGGTGGCTGTGGCCAACCACCTTCGCTCCGAGATAGGCTCTTGGAGTAGCCACGTTTCCCCGCTTATCGGCGGATAAGCTGCCATCGGCATCCCCGCCGTGGGGGGGAGAAATTGCTCCTTCGCCTGGCGAGGTTGGCAGGTCCTGGCTGTATGCTATTCTTGTCAGCCATTTCCCGGCGCGCAGCGCTGTGTGGGTGATGTCGGTATAGCTCTGGAGTGTGGTAGTGGGGGTGGGGCAGTGTGTTGTCCCCCGAGGGTTGGTGGTCGTGGTTGTGGCGGTGGTTCCTGCTGTGCTGTGTGGGGTTCTTGCTGGGGCTTTGGCTGCCGTGTTGGGTAGTAGCTGGTTGCTTGTGGTGGCTGTTCGTCAGCTGCGTCTGGGTGCCAGTATGGTGTGTAGGTGGCTGCTTTGGTATGTTGGTGCGGCTCGGCTGGGCCGTCGGTGGGGTCGTGTTGCTGCGGTGGCTGTGGTTCTTCCGACGGTTGGAGGTGGGCGGGGAGTGGTTGCCCCGGGTTGAGCAAGCGGAAGTATTGTGCTCTCTCTTCCCGCGTGATTTGTGGTGGTTGCCATGTGGTAGCTGGGTCGTTGCGGGGATCGTTGTCCCCCGTGTGGTGTGGTGGAGTGTTGTTTGTTGCTGGTGACGGTGAGGTGGAGTCGTCTTGGTATTGGAGGTGTTGGTCCCATCTGGTGTGGTGGAGGCCATGGGCTTTCAGCCATCTTTTCATGCGGTACTTCTCGGCTTTGTTGCGGGTGCGCGTGGCTCCCCCGCCTTCATGCTTTCTGTGGTTGTGTTGCGGGTGGTGGCTGCTGCGGCGTCGGGGTGCGATTGTGGTGTCTGTTGGTGCTTCCCCCTCCTGCTCGTCGTCTCTTGCTGCGGCGTCTGGGAATGGTAGGAGCTCTCGTTGGATGTAACTCGTAGGTATCTCCCCCATTGTTATCCAGTGGTAATGTTCGCGCATGGTCATACCGGGGATGGCTTTGGCGCCGCCAGGTGGGAGGTTGCTGCCTGTGGCCGCCTGGAAGGGGTGCTCTCGGAAGGGTTTGTGTTGTGGTTCCCCCGCTGGTGTGGCACGCCCTGTTGGCGTCTCTGCTGTTGCTTGTGTGTTGTGGTGGTGGCTTGGTTGGTCTGCGGTAGCGGTGCTTGCGGTGTGCGGCTGGGTTGGTGTGGTGGCTGCCGGCTCCGTTGGTGGTACCACCGTGTGGTGTGGTGGCTCCGGTGTTTGTTCCGTTGGTTGGTGCGTTGCTGCTGCGGCTTCTGCCCATGGGTCGGTGTCTGGGTTGTACGTGGTGGCATAGGCCACCCCATGTGGGCCATGTTGTCGTAGAGGAGCTCCCGTCGGGTGTTGCGCAGTGCGGTGGTGCTGGTCGGTGGGTGGTTCGATGATTTGGCCGTTGGGGTCGCGAAGGTTCCCCCAGGCATCGTATGATGCGAAGCCGTGGTCTTGTGCTAGCTGGGCTGCTTTTTATGGTGGTGGTGGTGGTGGTGGTGGTGGTGGTGGTGGTGGTGGTGGTGGTGGTGGTGGTGGTGGTGGTGGTGGTGGTGGTGGTGGTGGTGCGCCCCCGTACATGTCTGAAGCATGGTTGCACTGCTGAAACAAACTGTCATGGACGTGTGTCACAAGAGTCTCTGTTCTCTCCCCTCAAAGTAAAGGTCAACAGCTGCCACAGTTCTTCAGGTTCTCTCCCTTCACTCACTGTGGTTGCGGGCTGCTGTCTGCTTGCTTGTAGGTTTGGTGAAGAGTCTCGCTGTATCGGTGTGTTGTGTGTTTTCCGCG